CAAACCACCTTATAAAAAACTAAAGCACTTGATGAATACAGCTTCTGACAACCCAAATCCAAATTCCCTCAAAAATTCAAAAAACTCAGATGAACCAATCGATACCCAATTTCAAAAATTCAACAGAAAGCAATGCAAAACACGCAGAAAACGCCAGAATGAGCAAACGCAGAGAGGTGGGATTGAAACAGTTGAACAGGAATCAGATCCAAACGGAGATTAGAGAGGGAGGAAAAAATGGCTTTGAATAAATAAACGTTACCTTGCAATGCGAACCTTTAACGGGTTCGCTGGATCTCGAACCTGATCTGGTGCAAAAGGTTGATGGGGTTTGAGTGAGGACCAAGCAGGAGGAGGAAGACGTAAAATGGCAATTAGAAATTAGAAAAGGACCTATTTTGAAATTTTAATAACTCAAGGGGAGTTTAGGGATTTAAATTGTTGTTTAAGGCATATTTGGCATCGCAATCAAAAACGTGTTTATTGGTCCATTTTATTTGAGACGAAGAAAATAAGAAGCATCAAATTGGAAAGAGATGCCTTTCCTCGTCACCCTCTTCTTGAAATCAAATATCCTGCAAAATTTTTGTGTATGGTCTTTTGTGACATTTATTATTGACTAATGTATTTTAATAAATTTAACCCTTATTCTTCTTAAAAATATGTATTTACCGATCGCCTTCTAGTTTTTATTTCTTTCATTATTTACCGGCATCACATTCTTCATCTAGTGTTACTTTATTTCATTTGTAAGCAATAGGTAGATTTTAGATTCCACTGTCTTAAGTGATTACTTTGATATCAATTAATATTGACCTAATTTTTGGTTCCCCTTCCCTCCACCCTATGACTAGCATCAAAAAAGTAAAATCCTTCTCTCACTTTGTTGGCATAAAATCCTTGGTCAAGAAGTAAACGTAATAAATATACCAGATTACAAACAATTAACAAGACAAGCCCAAAAATACCGAAAACTGGAGGCTACTAGATGCAGTCAACACGCCAAAACAGCGAAGTATTTTATTTTTTTCGGGCAACACAACCCAAGACGATCAATTGATTAAATGGGTGGTATAACATAAGCACGACACACAATTAGTTTGAGAGAAATTTTCTTTTTGTGAGAGAATTATTTTACCACCAATTGGTACTTAGTCTAATGGTTTCACACTTAGTTGAAAAAATGTCTACCATTTCGACTCTTATGAATGCAAGAACTTCACATATTCATCTGTTGTGATTGGTGTTTTTTTTTTTTTTTTTTTTTTTTTTTTTTTTTTTTTTAATAATCAGCTAGTGATTTTGCCATGTGAGTTCAACTTTCTGAGAATCGTGATGAGTTCGATATATGTAATCAAGCACAGACTCAACCTTGATCGACTGTGTTGTAGCTCATCTGAAGTTTGAGAAAACCAAGGTTTATAATTATATGTATCATCAAGCCATCCCAACAATGTAAGCATCATTCCTAAGCCAGTCCAGTCTTCACGCTCACAACATAAACTTTTTCTTCATTTTTATTTTATTTTTTGCTCAAATTTTTCTTCTTTTTAATTCTTCATTGCTGGCATTATTCTTCAATATAATTTTTCAATACGTTTCTTTATAATTTAGGGATTTAAGGGTATAGGAATCTTAATTTGACATTACAGTCCTGTGTGGTGCAAAATATATGTGAAGAAGATTTGCTTCGATTGGTTGTGCTTTGATATTAATAACAAGGATTGGGTAGGGTTTAGGTTTTTAAGTCTAATTTCAATCACGCACGTAAGGTGTTATTAAGGTTTTTCAGATCGCTTCATTGATACAAGTAGCACAGCTTACGACCATGCAGGGTGCAGCAACCCAAAACTGCATGCATTGCATACACTAAGCGTTACAGAATTAATTAGTGTAGCAAATTGCAAAGCACTACATATTGAACAATAAACAAACAAGTAACCTACATCCGTTCAACTTCATAACGTGAGACAGAATTGAATTACTCGATTAATTACTTATACGAAAAGCGATTACCGATCGAATTTCCATGGTATACGTAGCTATATAAGTTGACTCCACATGTCCACATGATTCCCACCACTCTACCCCAATAAGCAAGCAAGCAACAATGTGGAAGTTGTTGACAATTTTGGTTGTGGTTCTTCTGGCTGCTGTAGCAGCTCGTGCTGAGGACGCTCACTTTGGGCCTTGTGTCATCGGCGGAGACTCACCATGCAACGGGAAGCAATGGGGGAGGCGGGTAGGAAGGGATTATAACTTCGGTGTTCCGGTACGCACAGTTAACTTCGATCAACCAGCAGCCAGCCCCGATAAGCTGAGTTATGATGATTTTGTTGACACTCATGATCATATTCCAGAATCAGAGCCACCATCCTACCTATGATCAACAACTTCTAAAAATATAAATACATTTTCATTTTGTTACTTTTTTTCTTGGTCAAGGTCTTGAATAACTTTTTTCTTAAATTTATTGAGAGTGTGGTCCATGAATAAAGAAGAAGATGAATTTGTTGACTGGTCGAATAAAGAAGAAGATGAATTTGTTGAAGTTCCATGTATGGTGGTGCCTATGGTAGGAAGGTTTTATTTGTGATATGTAATATTATCATTATAAACTGATATTTATACGAATGTCATGTTATTTACACAAGGAATAACGTTATTTATAGGGGTCTCTTCTTTATATAGATTATTTAGCAAGCATGTTGTTTATCATATTTTTCTAATTGAGGAAAACAACTTACATAATACTGTTAAATTGCCACATAGTGTCTCATGCAATAAAACAAGAACATTTGGACAAAAGTTTCAAACGTCTTTATCTCTTTAGCACAGAACATCACTGTGACAATATGTCTGTACCATGTAAATCCATCTACTAATAAAAATGCATGTATATGTGAGATCCAAGCGAATTAGAGTGGTGATTGGTGAGTAAATGCAAGAATATATCTACGTTGCAACAATCTTATATGAACGTAAATCACTCCATGGAACCTCACAACTATACCCAAAACACAATTCATCGTTACTATAAAATTTCACATTGCCCGGGGGAGAGGAGGTGATGTGCCTTATATGTATAGTAAGACGCGTTTTGGGTGGAAGCCCAAGAACAAATCCGTGGGGGCATGGCTCAAAGCGGACAATTCTTATTATGCGGACTGAGATGTGACAATTTGGTATCAGAGCCACTCCCAAGCCGGAATTGTGCCGACGAGGACGTCGGGCCCCTAAGGGGGGTGGATTGTAAGATCCCACATCGTCCGGGGGAGAGGAGGTGATGTGCCTTTTATGTACATGCCTAGGAAGGTGGGCATGTACATATAAGGCACATCACCTCTTTTCCCCCAGGCGATGTGGGATCTTACAGTCACCATTGCATCTCTAGATCTCTCCTACGTATGAGATGATAAATACCAAATAAAATGTTCAGTGATTACCAAAACAAAAATAAATAAATAAACAATGATTTTTTTTTTTTTTTGTGAAAATAAAATGATCTATAAAATGCACAAAAACGCCTAAAGATATGCCCCTAAAATCTCAATGAGCCAAGACCACAAATAGTGAAATTAACATATAAGATTTCACAAAGAGAGTTTGATTCCCGGAGACTCCAACGCATGTCACTGCCATATCCACAACCTAGAATATTCAAAATGTTTTTCTTTTGAAACAAGAATATTCATATAAACTTAAATGTCTGAGTTTCACATAATTGTTCATCAATGTTATTTGTTTCATATAATTATGTTTTTTATTCAGTGAGTATTCTGTTTTATCTAATATTAATACAACTAAAACTGCGGGGAGCCTCACAAGTTCCAACCAACCCAATCGCAAAATTTGATTTACTAATTAATTACTCTACTTACCTAATTAGAGTAACCCTAGGCCTCAATCTGGATACACAAAAGCACAACTGGTGTTTCCAATAGCTAAGAATAGGCCTTACAGTAAGGTCTTTTTGGCTTCGATACTTAATCTCTCACCTGGAAGCAACAGAAAGCAGCAGAGTTATGAACAACGAAATCGAGAGCAGTAGTGATCGAAGCTTCAACCAAGCTGTCGTCAACATTAAGGTTTACAGAGGACTCGCCAAAAGGTTCGACCCAAAGTGGAGCAAGAGCTTCTTGGGTCCTAAGGTCAATTGTTGAGTTTAATTGGCAGAAACCAAATAAATGGGTGGGTGTTCATTCTCCTTATTAACTGTGCTTCTCACTTTAATTTGTTTATTTCAAGGATTATGAATTTTGTACTTTTGAGTTATGGAGTAAATAATGATTAACATATTGATTTGAAGAAACATCAATTTTGGATCGGATTTCATGCGGCCATCAAATAAAACTTCGAGATTTTACATTTGCCATCTCATTGAAGATACTTTCAGAGTCTGTTTGATTATGGTTGTTGTTTGTGTTTTCCGATCAGAACCTTCTGGTGGACGGAGCCACAGTTGTGGATGTTCGCCCCATGGTTGATCAGTAACCTGTGGCCTTTAGCACAGTACCTGAATTTTTCACACTGTGGCGAACCAATCTATGGCCTTTGGTGGGGTGTTTTTTTAAGGAATGATCATTTGCTTGATATACACTTCAGCTTTCGTTTTTAGCCCGATGAATTCGCAATTTTGTTTTTCAAAAATTGTTTATTTGTTTCTTTAAATTTTTTTTTTTGGTTGAAGTTAAAAAGATGGATAGATTGAGAGAATAAACCTGCTTAAGATTGGACTCTCCATGTTAATAACTTCTCAACTCATAAAAGGTCTCTCCTAAATCCCCACTTCACATCTGTGATCTTTGTATTCGGCGCTTCGCTCACTTGTAGATCAGCTTGTGATTGAATTTCTACACTGACCCACACCTCCTTTTTCCGCTTATTTATCCCCTTTGCCAGGCCCACATATTGCCACGTCTCAAACACCCAGAAACCCTAGGACCAGCTTGAATATATACAAACCCTAAAAGAACCCTAGAGATAAGCTGCGTCAAGGTTTTGAGTTCTTATTGCTACTGCCACTGCTACCTTCTCACCGTCACTTCTTGTTTTCAATAAAAAAATTCATTTTCATAATCAACAAATTTTGGTTTTGATGCGCATACCGATGGACTGCATGTTTGATCCTGGCTGATTTTGTTTTGATGGTTTCGGCAGGAATTCGCTCCATTTCCGGCCGGTGAGCGCTTATTGCAATCGGATCTAATTAGTTTGTTCCAGTTATGAAATTAAAAAAAAAAAAACATAAACTAATATGTTTTACTAATTTTTTCGAAGTGAAATTAAAATTGATTATAACTATAACCACTACCGTTGTTTTGGAGCATAGTTAGGTCACTGGTTAGATATTTGTATTTCTTGATCTGTGAGTGTTGTGTTGCTGATATGTTTTTGTTTTTTGTTGTTTGAAAATGATGAAGGATAAGAGAAAGCTTTATTGTGGTTGGAGCCTAAAACCATAAACGCTACGGAATCCCGCCATGATCTATGATTTCCAGTCATAGATCGTAGCTAGGAGGAATAAGCAATAACAGTAAGAAGGGTAGTATTAGTAGGTTAATTAGAGAAGACGAAAGCTATTTATCTTCACATTTATATTCAGTTCACATATATTTATCTCCACCAAAACCAAAACAATGGAGCCTCTATGTGAGTTTTGTGGGATGGCAATGGCAGTTGTCTACTGTAAATCAGATATGGCTCGCCTTTGCTTGTACTGTGATGGATGCGTGCACTCAGCGAACGCTTTGTCACGCCGGCACCCTCGTTTCCTTCTATGCGACAAGTGCAATGCTCAACCTGCTATCATCCGATGTATGGATGAGAAGACGTCCTTATGTCAGAGCTGTGATCACTGGAGTCATACCAATACTAGCATTAATGGAATTACTACTGCTTCAGCAGGAGGTGGGATGGGGGGACATAGGACACATGCATTGACTTGTTACACGGGTTGCCCTAGTTTGTCTGAGTTTTCGAGAATTTGGTCGGTTCTGGAAGGATCTTCTTCTTCAGGTGGTAATTTTGAAAGTAGTAACTGGGATCAGTCACTTGGATCAGCTGTAGTGGCAACAAACCAGGATCAGACTAATTACATTAGTAATAATGGTTTGGAAGGTAGAGATAATAATGACAGATCATTTGGGGTGGTTGTCACTGCTGGCAAGTTGAATGGAGGATCATCATTAGATCAGTCTTGTGGCCGCAAGTTTGATACTTGGATAGCCAGTAGTTCAACTTTGCTTCCATCGAATCCGAATTGCACTACTCACGGTAAAGATCAAACACCTTTCTTGCCTCAGGAGTCTAGCCTGCCAAAGGTAATTTTCTGTACTAGCTAGTTATGGTATTTTAATGCAACTACATCTTTAATACAACTATAAATTAACATATTTTTGGTATCCTTCTTAAGACGGTTTGGATGATTGGATCGTATTAAGAATTAGACAGTTTCACAGTCCCATATTGAATGTGATTCAATGATCTGAATCGCCTATTTGTTAAGTCCCCGTTCAAGGATCATTCTTACAAGAAGTCAATTAAATCAGAAACCATTTAGTCATCCAATTATGACCAAATAAATTGACGAACATAGTGTTTCCAATAAAAACAAAAATGTTCATATTGATAATCAAATGGTCCAGCGATTTTTCGATTTTTATTGATTCTTTGCAGGGATGATTCTTATATGAGGATCTCAAATTGGACGATTCTGATTATTGAAGCGCATTGTAGTGTGACCTCAACCGTGCAATGTGATTATTTATTATTTTTATTTTTTTTATAAAAAGGGATACTCTTAAGAAGGGATTAGATACACAAGGGTTTGGGAAATGAGTAACAATGCAAGTCAATTTGGTGGCAGTAAGAACTTTAGGAGGGCCTCAAAAGGACAATAATGAAAGCTGCAAAAACCATATAGAGGCACTTTTAAAATAGTTTTCTTCATCTTTATGTGCTATTTAATAAACCCCTTATAAGTGATTTGTTTGGGTTTTGCTTGTTTAAGCTTGATTAATGCATATTGCTATACCACTTCATGTGCTTCAGGGTTGTACCAATTTTAAAGATCTTGCAATTCAGGATAGCAATGTTCTCAGTGATGGCCTCAACGTTGATGATGTTCCATTGACCTTTGAAAATCCTGATGGGATATTCTGTCCACAAGTTCCTTCTCGATACCAGTTTGAGGATAGACTCGATAGAGAAATGGATTGCCTGTTAATGGAGAAAAGCTTATCAGTCACTGAATCTAATGGTCCTAAAGAGAATGCTGCACAGGTGCTCGTATATTCCAATTTAATTTCATCTTTTCTCATGAAATCATCTTTCTTTTATTATATGATGCCTCTGGTTTGAGATATGAAATTAATGATAATGATTAGTTAACGGTGATTTTGATCGGTTCAACAGTTGAGATTTGATTCCAAATATTTATAGCCAACTTTACATTAATCAATGATATCTGAGGAATGAAATGATTCTGTTGGCACAGATATATAGTTCATTTCGTGGTCCATTTTTACACATTACTTGGTGCAGCTCTGATTTGGTAGGTTAAAAACATGTGACTATTAGGAACTGCTAGTTACCATATTAACAAAAAAATTTATATTTTTTAGGATAAGACGGCAAGAAATAAATATTTTTCTATGCTTTGAAGTTCAAGGAGTGATTCTAGTATGAGCTAACAATTTCATAAAAATGACTGAAAAGAAGAAGGAAAAAAATGACTGAAAAAGAAGAATTATTTTCCTTTCGTTGCAAATCCGGTTGCATTCTGACTTGACCAGATTTATTCACAATGCGCATGACTATTGTTTTCCTTAGGCATCATCATCAGGACAACAAGAACGTGCAGCATTTCAATCCTCTTGTGGATCAGATACTGTTATGCCAGGCATGAATGGTAGTGCAAACTGCTTACTCATGAATCCTACTTGCAGCAGAAGCATCAACCTTGGATTTCCTACCGTGCAACAAGTTCATCCGAGCATGTCACTTACACTGCCCAGCATCAGCAGGGAAAGCAATCCTGATTACCAAGATTGTGAATTGTCAACAGTCTTTCTAACCGGAGAGCCTTGGGAGTCAACTTTGGAGGCTAGCAGTCCACAAGCAAGGGACAAAGCTAAGATGAGATACAAGGAGAAAAAGAAAACTCGCACGTACGTGTCTAACCTATGTATATTAGAATGGCATATGCACTATTTAAGGCATACTTGCTTTACATTTACTTAAGAGTTTTTCGTGTTTTTGATGTGTTAGGTTTGGTAAACAAATAAGATATGCCTCTAGGAAGGCCAGAGCTGATACCAGAAAACGCGTCAAAGGAAGATTTGTTAAAGCTGGCGAAGAATATGATTACGATCCCCTTGTGACAACGAGCTTCTGAGGCATACATCAGCAGAAAAACTCTATGCAAGGGCTTATTGGATAAAATAATCCACCTACATCCGTGCGCGCATCATGTTCCTAGTACTGAGATGACTGTGATTCCATAATCATAGAAAAATAAACCCCACTTTTATTCCTATGAATTTGCTTTGCATAAATATTCTGAACTCAATCATATTTTCAATAATGATTATCTGAGTCACCATTTCTTTAAGTTGCACAAATCATTCATTGGCGTTTCTAAATGAAGCCTTGAGTTCACAACAATTAGGAGCATCTGACAACTTATTGGATCAAATTGGTAACTGACTATATACTATATATTCAGCCAAAGAATTTAGTGAAGAACTCCACAAATTCAACGTCCCTACAACGTACCTTTGCTGCAAACAACCCTAACTACTACTTACATTTTGCAGCAATGGTCTCTGCCACTGTAATTTCTAAAGTATTGTGAGACAGTGGTATACTATATCAATTGTGTGTTGGTAATTGGATATCAGGATTGCATACTAAAACCCTCTCATCTAAGCCATATATATCTACACTTGTTTTTCTTAAATAGGCATCTTACCAAGTAAACTTTTGCACTTTAGAAATAACTGAGCACAGCCTTGCCAGAACAGGCTACTCATTGTGGAGCATGATCATAATATAATGTTCGAGAATAATGAGAAGGTAGCACGGTTTGCAACGAAAAATACTGCTCAAATATGAACTTGTAAGTAACACCGTTCCAATAGCTCTAAACTTTTTCAGTAGCAATTTACAAGAATAGCTTCAAGTAAAACAATCAAATTGAGATACAACTCTTTTGTGTGAAGTATGTTAATCATCTGAAACTGGTTGTTCTTATAGCCATTTCTTAATAAAAATCCGCTCCAACTACTAGTTTTAGCAGAATTGGATGATTAATTTAATTAGGATGAATTTGAAAGGATACTTACGAAAATCAATAACTAAGAAGCATTATCTCAGTAATCTTGGTTCTCATGTCATTAAATTGAAGATTACAAATGCATTAATAAGAATTTAAAGTTAATGACCTGACTAAAACTTTGGGTTTCCTCCTTTCTTATACCTTCGAACTGTTGCTGGCACAAAAAAAAGGTACTTCACAGTTCCATAAATTCAGGACTCCATCTTCAATACCTCACAGACTATATACATTGGTTCTCTATCAATTAACGATTCAAAAAACACAATCCCACAATAGAATAAAATCATATAAAAAGAAGAATAACTCAATAATTAAAATGCATATCATAGAAAATTGAAGGCCGGCCTTTTCCGTTTAGCTGACCATGCACTGGTTTCTGTGTACCCGACAAAGAATGGTTGGAAACATCACCTCCACCGCAATCCCAACAACATATCTTCGAGTAAGATTCTGGCATGTTTTACACAACAAACACCTGGCATGCCTAAGGGCTAAGAAATTAGCCCCATGAACCCGTCGGTCACATTTCCGGCACAAAAATGCATCATCTGCTAGGCAATACAATGAAGCCCTTGAGTTGCAGAGTTCACAACAGACCAACCTTCTTGAAGGAGTGATAATTGGTGACAGGGATAAGCCACTCTCGTGTACTCCTTTGCACATTTTAGAAGCACAAGAATAATTTTATGTGACAATGGCCAAGAAGTTGGAACCAAAAAAAGCCATTTATAAGATGAATTCTGTCCTGGAATTTCAAGTCTCCAGTGACAACCAAGCATGCGCGACTAGATGACAAATGTATCATTGTTATTCCTTTACTTAAGTTCCACACAAAACTTGGTCTATAATTATTTGTAAAATAGGGCTATTAGATTAACCAAGTATACCACTAGTTTTGTCAAAATAAAAACCACTAATTTAGGAAAAGCAAAAGATAAACATGATTAAGCTATACGGATGCTTTATGAGATGACTTGGTGCGAGGTTTTGAGCCATAATTTTCTTGGTGGGTGGTTAACCAGTCAATTTGATAACCTAAGAAGAAAGCATTTGTTTATATTTGTATGGCCTAGAATTAAAGCCTTCTTTAAATTCGACCAATATTGTCATAGAGGTTGTATATATGCATGGAGAAAATGTCTTTGTTCATGTATTGTTTATGGTGTTGACACATTAATCCACATGTATGGTTGGAATTGAAACCTTCTCAAAAGGCACTTTCTTGTTAAATATTATGTCCACTTGTTTGATAAACCTTTTAATTCACAAAATAATTGTGTTAGAAAAGGAAGGTGATGGATGCCACCAATATGGGTAATGTTTGGAAAAAAAAATGGTTTGGTGCTTAAAACATATGGAGTTAAAAACATTTTCATGAAGAGTACCAATATATATATATATATATAGAGGGATAGGATCGAGGGATAAATATTTTTACAAACATTCTTACACTTCTTTGTAGCCTTTAGATTTATAACATCCAAATGTTCCTATTTATTCATTAAATGACTTAGATACTTATGTGGATTCTAACTAATATTAAAAATAAAAATAAAATTGAAAAAACATAAAGTTTGGAAGAAAATTAAAACTAAAATTAAAAGGGGAAGAAACCCTAGGATCATGGGCGTTTTATTCCTTCCATGGCATGGTCGCTGCTACCATTTTCTTTTGTTGCTCAAATTCATGGATGGTAGTCGATGATGACCCTTTGATTCCAGCTCCCATGATTACTTTGAAAACAAATAATTACTTTCAAAATCTTAGTTGTAATCATTAAAAAAATTAAAATAAAATAAAATAAAAAAAGGATCGAGAGTAGCTAGGGTCATTAAATTAGGCTTTGCAAAAACAAAAAAAAGAATAGTCCTCTTCCTCTTCTGTACCACATGTTTATGGGAAACAACTCAAAACCCTTCAATCTAATTTGACTCCACCCAGCCCTCACTATCTCCCCATTAAAATCCCAGTTGTCCTTCTGCTCTGGTAATGCACCGGTTTCCGATGAGTAGCCAGGGCCTCTGGCCAGATCCAAAATAATAAAGCTTCCTCATCGGCAAAGAAGAAGTTTCATGATTTTTTTATTAAGGTTCAAAGTCTGAATCCAAGTCTTAATCGAAATAGGAATAGTAGAACCAATTTCAGTTAAATTATCTTCCTTTTTTAATTATATTTTTAATTTTCCAGATTTTATGTTTTTTTTTCCAATTTTATTTTATCTTTAATATTAGTTAAAATCCACATAAGCATCTATGTCATTTAATGAATGAATATGGACCTTTGGATGTTTTGTAATCTAAAGGTTAAAAAAAAGTGTAAAAATATTTGTTAAAATGTTTGTCTCTTGATCCTATCCCATATACATATATATATATATATATGTATATTAACTGTTCACACATAATTGGAAATAATGTGAGTGGTTCAACTAGTTAGGTAGGGAATATAAGCATTTCAGTCAAACAAGAACGGGTTATATTAGCTTCTTTTTTTCTTTTTTTTTTCTTTTTTTCATATGGCAACAAAACTTTAATTGATAGTAATTCAATTTCTCTTTTCAAAATCAGTTCTAAAACGAGGACTACAAGTCAACCGTACAAATTTAACATTGAACCTCACACAGTTGGTTCTAAAGCCTTTTTTTTTTTTGGATAGAATGAAGCTTCATTAATGAAAGAGAAATACAATTTTTGTTAAGAAAGGCCTAAGAGCAGTTCCAGCCCAAGCCATTTGGACCGGCACCAAGTGAAAAAAATAGCCCGGCACACTGTCCATCACCTCCAGCCCGCAAAACAGGCTGGCACCCAGCCCAAGCCAGGCAGCAGCCCAGCCCATTTCAGACAGACCCAGAAGCCGATCCAAAAGGCTGGCGCGTGCACAACACGTGCGACTGGGCGCGAGTAGCCGACAGCCATTGCAGGCGGTGGGGCCCGCTGCTCAGTCCACTTTCATATACCCGGCTGAGGGCTACGTGGCCCTCCTCAGAGTCGTTGGATTTCCAAAGGCTAGTTTGTTTAGGCCGTTGGATTTCCAACGGTAAAAAAAATTTAAATTTGACTTTTAAATTGGACCGTCCGATCACAGATCAACGGTCCACGTTTTTTTCACCAAAAAATTTAAAAAAAAAAAAAGGCCCAACGGGCAGAAATTTGACCGTTGGCCACGTGGCAGCTGGTTGGCTGTTGGATTTGATTATTTTTCAAATCCAACGGTCCAGATTAATTACAACATTAAAATTTATTAAAAATTAATTAAAAATTGTGAATTTTTTTAAAAAAATACAGAAAAATCCTATCCGAAATTAAAACTATTTTTTATTTATTATTTTATAAAAAAATTATTTAATATTTTAAATGGATTGGGTGCCAGCGCATCTTGTAGGGGTGGAGATCGTTTGTGCCAGCGTATTTTTAGACTGGGTGCCAGCACATTTTTTTTGGGGTGGAGATGCTTTGGCCTATTACTGTTCATTAGGGTCTATTACTGTTCACTAAAGTGGATAAATGGGTTGGGTGCTGGCGTAAAGTCTTTAGGGGTGGAGTTGCTCTAAACCTTAACAAAGCACAAAGTCTTACACAACCAAGCAAACATAAAATAGAAACCAAGCCCAAAAAAGAGAACTACAACCCCAGCCACAAAGGGAGGCCCACACAAATTTAAGCCCGTAGGCCACAAAAAAAAAATGGTGAGCAGTAAAACCCTAAGCTCCAACCGCCAAAAACCAGTCACCACCGCCACAACCGCTGCCACCTCCGTGAAGGAAGACATCACACCAAACTGAAAAATGCACCCTAACAAAAAACTAGATCTGAGAGTATTACGCACAGTCAATCCACCAAGAGCCAAAGCCTTCATAGCCACACCTACAAGAAAAGTCACCAAAAGTAAAAAGGAGGGGGAGGGCGAAGGGGGTGTGTAAAATACCCTTGTTCCGACGTGAATCATTTTACACTTTGCCCAATTTTTTCGGTAAATCGGATTGATAGTGAGCTTTGAAGGTTGGGCCTTGTGTCAAGATAGAACCCAACACTCCGATATCTAATTCATGGTTAAGAGTTGGAAAAGATGAAGGGCATGAAGAGGGAGGTAGGAGAAAAGGGTGTGATGGGGGGATGGCGGTGAGCAGTAGTTGGTTGAGGAACGGGTACAAAACTGAGACAAGAGATAAGATAGATGAGACAGAGCTCATAAAAAAAACATAGAAACAGAGAAGAAAAGGAAGAGAAGAAGGAAAAGCAGAAGAAAGAAAGAGAGAATGAGGACTGCCACCGACCCAAAAGCCAAAGGCTAGGGCCGGCGGCTGAGAAGGGTTTTCTTTTGGAGCTTTTTTAGAGAGAAGTGAGGAGGGCAGCTAAGAGATAGATGAGAATTGCAGTTGATTCTAAAGCTGAAGACTGATGACATCCTGGAACTGCCCGGTTTGAATTCAAGAATATAAATCACATTACTAACTTGAGCTTTCTTTGCTTCAAAGTGCTCATCCACTTTCTCATTGGAAACGAAGAAGCTGGCTTCTATTTGTGACAAGAACATTAACAATATCATGAGTCTTATTTTGGTTTGCAACAAATAGCTTGAAGACGTTAAAGGTTTCTAACTTGATTCTCTTCTTTGGATCCCTAAAAAGGTTCATTAAGATTATTATGTTAGTCCGAGACCACACTTATTGAATCATTACATCGGAATTTGTACGATTTTGACGTTTGGTGATATAATTTGAAGCCTCCAACCATTGTGGTACTCTTGTAAAATCTGGATCCAAAGGCACAAAATAACATAATCAATAATTCATATATTAATAAAGATCATTCTACTAGAACATAATAAATGTAGAAGGTAAAAAAAAAAAAGAAGTAATTACTATAGCTTGAGCTTTAAGTAATTATATGAGGTTTTCCATTTGCACTGACTTCAATAATCACATTATCAGATCCCTCACTGCCCAAATTTCTAAAAGCCACTCATAGTTTTCAGAAAAGAATTCAAGAAAAGTTGATACGTGCCTAGTCATAAGCTCATTGAAAGTAGCTGCAATATTCAACGATATGTCAAATTTGGAGATTGAATGTAATAAAAAATTTCTTCATGTGGTCTAATTTCAAGACATACTTTGCAATATTCTGACAGCAAATGCATTCCTTTGAAATTGCACCATAAGATAAAGCAATATCACCATTGCGTTCGTAGCCTTTTGTTAGAATATCCATAATATGAATATTCTTCTCCAAAAATACTCTAATGCGACCATACGCAACTAGACATTTTACTTTGGCAAATTTGAAATGATATGAGTCCCCAAGCCTTGAAAGACAAACATTGACGAGCCTAAAAGTGTCTCTTGAAAAACAGCTCGGTAACTTGTGCACAAAAATTTATTTGGTTTTGAATCATCTCCAATACAACAATTCTTGTCTCTAATATTACTTATGTCAATTCTTCCATCTTTTACTTGCGCTTTTGCTCATGCGTAGCATTGTTTTGATTATTGAAAATCTGAAACTCATGCGTGTGCTTTATAAGCTCTATTAGCGTTTTCACCTTTAGCTTGAAAAGACCCTTCATTGTCAATTTTATTGTCATTATAAGAGATTCTTCATTAAAACCTCATACTGTGTTTCATACTTTGCATTTGTAATTCGACTTTAGAATGTTAGGGTTTAAGGCGAAAGCGGGAAGAAAGAGATGAGACTGTAAAATTTTAGAATCTACAATCCCATAGGTATGTTAGCTTAGCTTTCTATTTCAATGGTTAGTTTTCTACCAATATCTCAACGTATCTAAATTTATCCTCAGCAAATTTGATTCTTCACAGTTAAATGGTACTTCATATCTACAACAAGGTGTCGATAGAATGATGTTCACGTTAAATCCCTATTTACATGTAAATCTCATGATCATTAATTAAAAGAAGAATTTATCATTTTGCATAAAAACATGCAAAATACACCCAACTGACCACTCTGAAAATTGACAAATTGGAACCATAATTTTGTCATATAATAAAGATGACCATTATGTGATATTTCAAGCTAATTATACACTATTCAAATTTTATTTTATTTACTTGAAAATGTATGACTAACTTGAGATATCGCTAATGATAGTACGGCATTCTCATTTTATATAAGTCTTTATCCCCTTGTTAAAAGAAGAATACTCATTAGTTTTGCATTCAATGTTACGTGAGACCATTTGTTTATGTAAACTCTAAATAATGAACAATTTACGCTATACACTTTAATCTACTGGCATACAACATGCTTACGTTACCACAAGTATTGAAAGTAAAAAAGCTAAGAAATTTGGGAATATAAAAAAGTAACGAATGTAAATCGGATCAATAGTTACCTTTGTTGATATAGAATACTTGGTTTGGAGTGTATACGACTACCTGTTATAGAGGGACTAACATTTTTTAAGGTCTGTTTGAGGTTGCTTCTAGACTATGTTCGATAAAAGACTTGAAAGTGTTATTGTGCCATTGAATGGATTTATCAAGAAACACATGTTATATACTTTTTCTCCGATATAATATTTACGAGAGCACTTCTAACATAAACACATATCCTATTTATAGCTAGACCTAAGATTGAAATAAATTGGGCCTTAGCCCGCATGAAATATGGTTATATCGGCCTCTCGAACAAAAGTCAAAAGCGCAGAAAGAATCCAAACAAACAGTTTATACTTTTTCAAAAAGTACTTTCAAATGCTTTTCTACGATATAATATTTACGAGAGCACTTCTAACATAAATACATATCCTATTTATAGCCAGACCTAAGATTGAAATAAATTGGGCCTTAGCCCGCATGAAATACGGTATATCGGCCTCTCGAATAAAAGTCAAAAGCGCAGAAAGAATCCAAACAAACAGTTTATGTCAGTGCCTCACTTGCTCAGGTGGATCTAATCAAACAAACACATGAATTCGTCACCTTCTTCTTCAATCGTCGTCGCTCTCCCAGCGACCGCGACTGCAACTGCAACTGGTTCATCATCTTCGCAGTAACTTTTTAAATGTACCGGAAAATCAAACGAAAAACCAACTCCGTCTGCAAAGCAATCCGATACCGATACCTCTCTCTCCCTCCCGTCCGTAATGCCCAGAACCTTAACCCTCGCCCGCTTCAAGGCCCTCCTGTTATTCCTCTCCGTTTTCCTCAACCTCTACTTCCTCTTACTCCACGCGCCGTCGGCCGTTCTCTCCCGCTATACTTCTTCACCCACCACCCGCCGCCATCTCGTCTTCGCCATCGCCTCCTCCTCCCGCTCCTGGTCCCGCCGCGAGCCCTACCTCCGCCTCTGGTGCTCCCCCGCCTCCACCCGCGCCTTCGCGTTTCTGGACCGCGCCCCAATCGACTCCTCCGGCGACAAGTCCGTCGCTCGGGTCGTCGTCTCCGGGGATACCTCCCGCTTTCCGTACACTTTCAAGGGAGGGCTCCGTTCCGCCATCCGCGTGGCGCGCATGGTCAAGGAGGTCGTCGATCGCGGCGAGCCGGATGTGAGGTGGTTCGTGTTCGGCGACGACGACACGGTGTTCTTCGTGGAGAATCTGGTGAGGACGCTGTCAAAGTACGATCACGATCGGTGGTTTTACGTCGGGAGCAACTCGGAGAGCTACCAGCAGAATGTCAAGTACTCGTTCGATATGGCGTTCGGCGGCGGAGGGTTCGCCATTAGCCATTCTCTGGCTACGGCTCTGGCGAGGGTGTTCGACTCGTGCTTGATGAGGTACGGCCACTGGTACGGAAGCGATGCTCGGGTTTTCTCCTGTGTGGCGGAGCTCGGTGTTGGGTTGACCCATGAGCCTGGGTTTCATCAGGTAGTGAGTTTAGCTAATTTTATCTGAAATATCAGAAAAAGTAATTAGCTTGATAAGATTTTAATGATTTAAGCATGCATTATCAGAAAAAGTAATTAACTTTATAAGATTTCGATGATGTAACGCCGAAATTGGTTTTGTTAGGAAGGAAAAGGAAAGTAATTGCTTGATGGTGTTGGATGAACTGATTGTGTTTAATGAAAGCTTTGCTAAGGAATGGCTTCGGCTTTCTTCTATAACTCGCCTTTTAGGTGGAGAGGTCCGTTCGTAGGTGTTCCTTGAATTTATAGAGAGCTGCGAAATGGGAGGACAAGGCATTCGGCTCATAGGGCTTTCCGAACACTAGAACATTAGTTGTATGACTTGAAACAAGTTGATACGACATTTCTGCTCCTCTGCTTTTTTATGTTTGTATTTTGAATATGATGCAATCGAATTGCTGGTCTGGTTTTCTAGTTTATAGTTTATTTTCATGTGTACAAACTAGGTTAACGATTCAGTCGTTGATAGGTTGAATTGCTGATTGAGTTATGTTGGATTTCTTTAATGATAACCTGAAGTTTTCAGATCATGATATAGTTTTGATTGGTGGTCCTTTGATCATCCGTTGAATCCCGTTTGAGCTTGTTAGCAAATTGTCTTGTTGTGAACTTATTTCAAGTAATGTGCTGCAATTTTGGGCACTTATTACCTTCATATTTCTAACCAGGTTGATATGCGGGGGAATTTGTTTGGAATGCTATCTGCACACCCGTTGTCACCTTTGGTGTCCCTTCATCATGTAGATGCCACAGATCCAATCTTCCCTAACATGAACAACACCCAAGCTTTGGAACATCTTTTTGAGGCTGTGAATGTTGATCCTGCCAGGATATTGCAGCAAATTGTTTGCTATGACATGTCGCATTCATTGACTGTTTCAGTTGCGTGGGGTTATGCTATTCAGGTGTATGATGGCAATGAACTCCTTCCAGATCTCCTTTCTGTGCCGAAAACTTTTATGCCATGGAGGAGGAGTGGCAGTATCGATACAAGTCAGTACATGTTTAACATGAGAGATTATCCTAGAGATAAGTGTAAAAGACCAACTGTGTTTTTCTTGGAAAGCATCGTATCCAGTAGCCATGGCATCTTGAGCAACTACTCGAGGCACAATGTGGAAAACTGCTCCAAAGCAAATGCAATAAAGAATCTGGAACAGATCAGAGTGTTCTCACAGAAGCTAAAGCTTGATTTGGATGAGGTATTGTTTCATTAATATAGATGTAAACAATAAGTTTTCTTTCGTCATTCAGTTTTAGTCAACGCCATTAACTACTGTCCACTTGTTACAATCCAGATGAAGGCTCAACGCCGTCAGTGCTGCGAAATTTTGCCGTCGTTTAATGACTCCATGACTATAAACATTAGACGGTGCAGAGACAATGAGTTAATCTCCATGAATTTCTAGAGTTCTCTGTTGGATAGTTGCTCTGAGTACACATATGTAGATGCAGAATTCAGAGAACCACGCACACTTTTGGTGTACCGTCATCTTATCAAGGTAAACACTAATGTCTTGTCTTGTTCCTAAATTATGTTTGAGAAGTGCTTAAGGAAACCCTTCCTCTCTCCTCGCATTCCATTCATTGATGTGATTTATATCTCACAATTAGTTGACATAATGGAAAATCTGAGTTTTACTCGTGTTCTCTCTTCATTATTGGGCTATTAAGCTATCGGACATTGGTTGTTCACTTGGTTAAGAATGCTTGAGATTCCAAAATTTTATTTATGTGAAATGGACCTACAAGCGGTCTGTTATACGTGATATTATGTGATGTGATCTGCACTTCATAAAGCTTAAGTCCCTTTTCTCCTTGACAGGAGGAGGAAGAAGAGAATATACTTGGAAGAGATGGCTATTTATCTTCTGATCAAGACTAAAATAATTATTCTGGAATGATATCCTTGAAAACACTAAATCAAAAGAAAAAGATTTGCCAAAAGGGGAAGTCACTGTGAAAATCTGCTGCCAGTTAAGGTTTCGACGTCTGTTAAGGCTCAATCTTGGTTAAACTTTTCAGTGGCTAATTATCTCTGGGAATTTGATGGACAGACAAAAAGGAAGTAGAACGCCATTCACACATCTGCTGGTGCAGACGACCCCAATAAATGTGGAAATCCAGAGGATTGAACTGTAACTAGTGAACTGATAGGTATGTAATGTTTTCATGTCGTAGAGTAACTTACGTTTTGAGACATCAAATGACGAGGAATAGTTTCGAGGATAAACATTAATTCGTTGGATAAGCATGCGAGGGAAATATTCTTCAAATGCTTGCTGCGTTTTCATGCCGCAGTTAGAGTATCTTGCTGATGAACTGTAGATGATAGCTAGATTGCAGAGTATAGGGTCTGGTTTTGTAATGTTGGAGCTGGAGTGAATGCCAGTACTTGGCACGCACACCTATTCCACTGATCTGCTTCGTCCTTCCTCCGTTCAATTATTCAGGATGATAGCCCTTCTTCCAAACCATTTAAGTCTAATGCATGTGCATCCTTTGAATCTGCAAGTAACCTAGTTTGTGAGATTTTCAATTATTTATGAAGCTCCAGCATTGGATGGTGTCATGTTTCTGACTTCTCGGATCTGGTCGTCATAAAACAACTTAGAAATCAAATCTAACTGGTACGATGTACTACTCGGTTGCTTGCTTTACCATGTTTTTGTGATTAATTAGCTTAATGTATCGGGTTTATACGTCTTAATTAACTGTATCCATGGATCTTGTGTCTGAACATTGCTTGGAGATTTTTCTAAGCAAGCATTTAATTACGAGCTAGTGGATTGTCACTCAAGTGATTAACAGTAGATACTTGCACTTAAAGTCCCGTCGTTTTTTACCTTCCAAATATTGTTTGTATAAAAAACATTGAATTTGCATATAAACATATTTTACATGCCATGATCACTCGAGATAATTGCAAGCTACACTGAAAATGATAGTTTTATCGTATATTTGTATCATCATTTGTACTATTTTTCTGATAGAGATAATATAAATAATAGTACAAATAGGTGGTAAGCGTAACATTTCTCGGGCTGCACAAGAAACCTCAAATACGTGAGTATTCGTTTCATTGGATTTTTTTTTTTAAATTACACATAATCTTGGTTATTCATCCAAGAAAAAATAAAAGAAAAGGAGAACTTACAAGCATTCCGCAACACGTTTACACTTTATTTTTGCCAAGCCCGTTAAAGTTATTTTCTTTCTAAATCTTGGGTCTGAAGTTGCTGCTTTCTTCACGTTCTGCATTTAACAAAGATGTACATACTTAAATCTTTGTTTTGCCAAGTCCTATTACGTTTTAACACGTAACCCCTCTTCTTAATCTCTCACACTCCAGTCAATGCCATTGCTGTCAAGTAGTTGACCCTTGATTCTAATCTAACCTAACGCACTATCTTGGTGCAGAAAAATAGTCGCGCTGCTCTAGCCAACTTGGTTAAGTTTAAGTCTGCGGTTTTTCTTTATGGGTTGGCAAGAAAATGGAGGACTTTTTGCGTGAATTCCGCGTCAACCCCATGTTCTTTTGGAGATTTGGCTAACTAAATAGACTTTGGTGCAGAAATACAGGTCAAAGTTTGCATCTTTCTCTTGCCGCTGATTACGCTTCACAATCAACATCTTGGTTTTGTCCCACACTTGTATTCTCTAGAGACAAATTTTCTGCATTTCTGTTTTCTTTCTTTGTTCTTCTTTCTTTCCTTAAGATGCTGCTGTTTCCTCAGTCGCCTTCAAAAACCCAAAATCCGTCTCGGTTGATAAACCTCTTCATAATCTCGTCTTCCGTCTGCACGCTCTTTCTTCTCGTGTCGTTCTTCCTTGTGTTTACAAGCTCAAAGCTTGCACATATTAGTTCTTTGTCTCAAGATGCGTATTCCCCGCCCTCAACCTCTCTCGAGCACATTGTGTTCGGGATTGCTTCGAATCAGAAATCGTGGTCTGCTAAGAGGAAGGAGTACGTCAGGCTCTGGTGGAAGAACCAATCCATGAGGGGATGTGTGTTTCTGGATAGCCTTCCGTCTGATCATCACCGTCACGCCAATGATACCTCTCTTCCTCCAGTGTGTATCTCGGGTGACACTGCCCGTTTTCGTTACACTTACAGAGGCGGTCTCAAGTCTGCTATTCGCGTTGCACGTGTTGTTTCTGAGATCGTGGCGCTTAACCATACGAATGTGAGGTGGTATGTCTTCGGAGATGATGACACGGTTTTTTTCCCCGAGAATTTGGTGAAGACACTATCGAAGTATGATCATGGGCTGTGGTACTACATTGGGACATCCTCCGAAGTTTACGAGCAAAATAGGGTGTTCGGATTTGGAATGGCTTATGGTGGTGCAGGTTTCGCCATAAGTGCCCCGTTGGCAAAAGTACTGGCGAAGGTGTTTGATTCGTGTTTAGAACGATATCCGCATATCTATGGAAGCGACTCTAGGATTTTCTCTTGCTTGGCAGAGCTCGGCGTTGGATTAACACGCGAACCCGGTTTCCATCAGGTACCCTTTTCTTCGCTCATCAAATTATATATGACATTCAATTTTAATAGTTTAAATCGAAATTTCAGTGTGCTTTTTTGTTTGTTTATATATCATAGAAATAATATTTTTGGTTTTGGGCTGGGAAAATTGAATCAGAATGACATTCACGGCGATATGTTTGGTCTGCTGGCTTCGCATCCAGTGACACCTTTGGTATCCCTGCATCACATCGATCACGTAAACCCCATCTTCCCCAACATGACAACTCTCAACGCTCTGCAACATTTGTTTAAAGCTGCCAACGTGGATTCTCAACGAATGTTACAGAAAACAGTCTGCTATGACAGATGGTTTTCGTGGACTATCATGGTGTCATGGGGTTACGCTGTTCAAGTATACGGAAACCATATTCTTCTGCCGGATGCCCTTCCCGTGCAAGAGACATTCAGCCAGGTGGAAAAAGGGAAGTGTTTTGACAGGAGCATATCTTTTTAACACAAGAGAACATCACAAGGATCCGTGTCGAAGGCCTGTTGTTTTCTTTCTGGATAATGTGCCTTCTGGTGCCGGTAGAATCAAGAGCACCTACAAGAAGTCTTACGAAAATTGCACCTACGACATAGCTTCTCCGAGGAGGCTGGAGGAGGTCAAAGTGTACTCGCATAAGCTGGACTTTGATATGAAACAGGTATCGCTTACAATATTTCGGACATACATAGTCGATCACTCGAGCATTGTTATACGTCTTCATGAAACTTATATAATACTGATTCCATGTTTTCGTGAATTAATCAGTTGCAGGCGCCGCGAAGGCAATGTTGCGATGTATTACCTTCTTCGGGCAACAAGGTGATGGAAATCGAAATCAGAGAATGCAAAGAAGAAGAACTAATCCACATGCATCCGTAGGGGTGTTTAGTATTTGCATATAGCCGGATTAATTATACAACAATATTATATCATACAGATGGAATAGGTATGTCAAAAATAACGAATTATTGTAGATGTTAGCAAAATTAATACTACGTAATTGTCTAATCCAATGTAAATTAAGAATGTCATTGTATTCGACTTTGAAATCTGTTGTCTCGAATTCGACTGCTTTCTTGGATGGAGGTTTCAAGGATCCGCAAATCTAGGAAAGCCTAAATTCAAGCAAATTTGACTTGGAATATATACAATGTTGAGTAAGGAGGACACATGAGATTGCTTAAGAAGCATTTCATATGTACCAATACATCAAGTTTTGGCATCAAATATCTTTGTTATATTTATTCACTTTGTCATAGTTGGATCGAGAAATAATGCACCATGTGAAAAAAAAAAAAATGGTGGTTTGACTAAGCAAAATATTCAATCTTTTTCTTTTGTTTATGTTATCTTGAAGTTTAAGACGTTCCTCTAATTAAATTTCATTCTCAGTAAGGGAGTAACATTCGAATCTTCGATTATTAAGTACATTTGTCTCTCACTCCACGCGGTTGATTCGAAAGTTCCTCTATGGTGCGACATCAAGACACTTCTTACACTAAAAGGTCACCAGTGCATTGAACTGTATCATAAATCGATTCGATGTTAGGTTTCTAGAGTTGTAGCTTCCCATGAGCATATGAAGGTGATTAAACAAAAAATTTTGAACATAATCGAGTAACAAGTCACAAACTTTTTCATCGAACAATGGGGGTGCATCAACGAATTTGGCGTCTTTGTCACGTAAAGAGCATTGTTCGTGTCACCGTCACTAGGTATATGTATGTGCATCTGGTCGGTATTTCACAAACAAACCTTTGTACCAAATAATAGCACCTTGACTTGGAGGACATCGCTTCCGAAGATCTCGATCTAATTTCAAATTAACCTATTCAAGTTGGTTTCTCATGTCCCGCGTAAAAAGCTCCAAACGTATGAAGGGAAAAATAAAGATAAGAGACTCGAAATGGTTAGTATTTTCGACGAAAATATGTTGAATATAATTGAATTAATCCTAACGCGTGTTTGATGCCAAATGCCCTAAACACAAACATGTTGTCTTCACTCGCGCATTGACGACACTCAGCAAGGCGTGTGAACAAAACTCAACAGGTCTCTCTCAGATTTCCCAAATTTCTATTGGCCTATATATGCCTATTGGCCGGCCAGGAGTGAACATCGCATTTAAAAAAGAAGAAAGAAGCCATTGCTTTTTCCAAGTCCTTGCTTAGGAACGAGTACGTACTTGTTTCACTTTTGTATTTCTCTCTTAACTTGGTTGCTGAGAGGATGGTCATGTACGTCGTGTTTACTTTGACTTTTTCATGGTATGCGACATTTGGATTTTATGTTTGGTGTTACTTTCATCTTCGTAGAAACAATGATATTAAATTTAGGGTTTACTTCTTACACATTTTTTTAATTTTCGACCGTCGAATCGGATGAATTAAAGAAGATCAACGAACAGAAATTATTAAGGAGTGTGTGAGCCGCACACCCCTAAATTTATGCAGACCTGATGAACCACACGTAGTCAGATTCCGAAAACTACATTATGCATATATAATCTTTCTTTCACCATTTTTAAATACAAGTACATGCTTTATATTCAAACCATTTTATTGTTTTTTATTGCTCCATATATAAATTATATTTTCAACGACGAAACGTCGTGGAACATGTCAATGCATGTACTAGTATGTTGTTCTACTTAGAATGTTGCAGGGGACAAGTTTATTCAGCATTCATCACATAATTTTTGGTGTTTCATTTGCTGCAAATTTTTCTGCTTCTAATCCTTTTTATCATCTTTTAAAATGAAATTTCTTGCATTATACGCTTCTTATTTTCTCCTGATTTCATGCATTCTTCAAATTTACTATCCCGCTAAAGCGCAAAAGATTTACTCTTTTTCGAACTGTAACACCGCTACCAATTACACTTCCGGGAGTGTCTATGACCAAAACCTAAATCTTACCCTCACTTCCCTTGTTGCCAATGTATATCAAACTGGATATTACATCAAAAGCATTGGTCAGAACAACGATGTGGTTTATGGCCTTGTTCAATGCCGCGGCGATCTCTCTAAAATTGGTTGCCAAGCTTGTGCAAATATAGCGGCAACTGAGATCAGGCAATTTTGTTTAAGCCAGAAGGAGGCTTCGGTTGGCTACATAAATTGCGTGTTGCAGTATTCGGACCGGCGTTTCTTCTCTACTTTCAACAGTTTCCCAAGGTTGGCCTTATACTACAATCAGACAGCAAATGACCCCGTTCTTTTCAAAAGTCAGATAGACAACTTGGTTAATAACCTATCATCAAACGCCGCTTCCAATCCTTCAAAATTTGCTATCGGGGTCACCAGTTACACGGATTCCAAAAATTTATATGGCATGACTCAGTGCACCCAAGACCTAGCAGAAAACAGCTGCTTAACTTGCCTGCAGCAGATTGCCAGTTATGTACCACCGGATGGATTTGTTGGGTATACACTAATTTCTGAGAGCTGTTATGTCCGGTATGAGATATATTTATTTTTCCTGTCACCAATTCAACATCCACCACCTCTAGTGGCACCCTCTCCATTTCCTAATTCAACTACTACTGGTGGCACTAATAAGACTACTGGTAAATTTTTGGGCTCCTTTGATGCATTCAAAAGCTTCCTGTCATGCACATGTAATATCTGCAAGATGGTTTTCCAACGGGAAATGATTTCTGCACATTCTTCTCTCCTTATGCACGTACACCCTGTTTATTTTTGTTCCTTGATTTTCCTTTGCTTTATTCGATTCCAATGCCAGAAATAAGCAAGGGTGTGCATCAGGAAAAAGTGGAAATCATTTCCCTTTATCCTATTCCGGGAAGTTAACTAGTATGTTAGTCTTGATAAGAATCAATTGCATCAAATCAATCATCATGTTAATTAACTTTGTCAGCATACGAAACTTTTAGTTTTATGAATTGAGTACTCCTTTAGAGAATTAGATATAAATAGAGATGTAATAATTTCAAGTTTATGCAGGAAAGGAGAAGATTTCAAAAACCATCGTCATCATAGTTATCCCACTACTTTTGGGATTGCTTGTGGTAGCCACAAGCTGCGCTTGTTTCTTGTTGCGGAAAAAGACCAGGAGAAGTGGAGTTGGTAAGTAGAACATACATGCCTCAATCGCAGAGGTTAACTTATGTTATAGTTTAGTGTTTATTTTTATACCTGCAATATTGGAGAAGGGCAAATCGAACCTAGGACTTCTCCGGCGTATACATTCACTTGAGCTACAAGCTTTCTGAAGACTTAACTTATATGCCCCTGAAGACATTAACTTTGCATATTTTCATGCAGATTATCTTTCGGATGTTCGTGAAGATGGTAACAATAGTAGGGATGCACTTTTGATTGGATTAAATACACTTAAAGTTGCAACCAGCAATTTCTTAATAGCCTATAAACTCGGAGAAGGCGGATTTGGTCCAGTTTACAAGGTACTTGCAGTTCAGTTGTAATCAATGCATTCTCTACAATTTCATGACATTTGTGTAAATGACTCTGTCCATATATACACCTCTAGGGAAAACTGCCCGACGGACAGGACATAGCAGTGAAAAGGCTGTCACGTAGTTCAGCCCAAGGTCTAGCAGAACTAAAAACGGAAGTAATTCTAGTTGCTAAGTTACTGCATCGGAATCTTGTAAGACTATTAGGGTTCTGCTTAGAAGATGAAGAGAAGCTACTCGTCTACGAATACCTACCCAACGGGAGCTTGGACAAGATTTTATTTGGTATGAATTATCAGTCCCTTAGTTGTTTGTTTTTAATGGAGATTCAGTGTTTTTCTTTCTTGATCACAATAATGTTATGTTCTTATTAAACTTAAACTCTGAATATAGGTCAGGGGAGAACATTTAGTTTGGAATGGGAAAGAAGGTTCAAAATCATTGTCGGAATTGCTCAAGGGCTACTTTACCTGCATCAAGATTCTCAGCTTCGGATTATTCATCGAGATTTGAAAGCCAGCAACATCCTGTTAGACAAAGACATGAACCCCAAAATATCTGATTTTGGTTTAGCCAAATTGTTCGGCGAGAGCCAAACTCATGGCAATACGAACCGGATTTCTGGTACTTTGTATGTCACAAACTTAATACCTAGTTAGATATTTAATATTTATTGCTTGATACATGATCTCTAACACAAACATTTGCGATGTGCAGTGGATACATGGCACCAGAATATGCTAAATATGGAAAATTTTCGACCAAATCTGATGCCTTTAGCTTTGGGGTTTTAGTTCTTGAAATTATAACAGGTCGGAAGAACTCCAGCTTCCGCACTTTCTCAAATCTACAAAGTTATGTAAGTATGTAAAAAATAATTGACATGATTAATGATTGAATTTCACAACATGACAACATATATAACACGTTAACTTGACTGAACAAATTTCTTAAAGTTATATTGACTTGAAGTTAACACTTGAAATTGTCACGTAGGCATGGCAGCATTGGGCAAATGGAACATCATTGGAGTTATTGGATCCGAGTTTGGGAGACCAGTGGCCTAGATATGAAGTTTTGAAGTGCATCCACATTGGGTTGTTATGCGTTCAAGAAGCTGCGGCTGAAAGACCTACTATGTCAGAGGTTGTTATGATGCTCAATAGCTACACTATTACCTCCGCCGTGCCTTCGCAGCCAGCATTTTATGTCCGACAGGAAAGCTCCGCCAACTCACAGAACTTAACTGCATCTGAGCTCGATATGTTAGCAGAAGCAGCTCAGTCAGTAAATGATGTTACAGTCTCTGAACTCTATCCTCGCTAGGTTAGCTAGCAATTGCGCAATGTCCTAATAATTGGAAAGATATTAGATATCTCTTCTAGCTAGCTACCTAGCGACAAAGTAGATTAAACGCTCAAATTATTAGTCTATGGGAATATTTTTGCTCATCACACTCAAGTAATGGTGATGTTCATCACCCTATATATCACTGTTTGATAAGTTTAAACTTTTAAGTTTGTGTCTATTCACCACATGATGATGGTGAGCAAAAATAGATTCTTAATTTGTTGTTTCTCATTTTTTGTTATACAAAAATGTAGATCCTCGAAGAAACTTAGAAAATTATGTATACATACTTTGATTTGATTTTTATTGATCAGTAGATGATGTCAACTTACTCAAATTGTCAAACCACTAATACCAACTTATTTTCGATGAACTCCTTATAAGCCCTAGTAAGATTTTACTTTCGCTAATGTAGAACTCTTTTTACCTTCACATTCTTGAAAAAAAAAAACAACCACTAAAGAACAATTTTCTTTGCTTGACGTCGACGTTGCAGGCCAAGGGAAAGGCAGAATTTGTTTACACCAAACTATTAGCATTCATCACTGAATGTTTTCTTTTGCGGTGATCTACTGAGATTTTTACAGTTCTCTCCTGTCCCCATTGTTGAAATCTTGTTTACCAAACCAAAATTTGGTGTACCTTATGTATTTTTGGTAAACCAAACCATAATTTGGTGAAGCTATAATTTCATGTTCTTCCATATCATGCAGATTCCATTAGCTGCTGAAAGTTTGGAGTGGAATATGTGAGCATTTTTTGTTTTCAGTAGTAACTTATAGATTCTCTTTTCAAAGCAATTTTTCAATATATTTGAAACACAATCACATGACGTTATATTCTATATAAATTATAACAAACGAATTTATTTTGTTAATATACCGTAAAATAAGACTTATTGACTCTATCATTCATTCTTATTTCAACATGTGAAAATTTGGTACCATCTTTTCGTAATATTGCATGGGGTCTCATTGAAGCTGCATCTTCGTAATTCTTATGAATCTATGTTTTTTTTTTTTTTTTTTTTTTTCCGTGAAACAGAATATATGGGTGCTTGTTGGTTTGGTTAGTTGTGCAAACATGTGGAAATAAAACGTGTCAGTGTTTGATTGGACCTGACACACCCCGACCTAGATCAGGGCGTGCTGGCCGTCACATGGAAGTGACGTAGCCATGTGCACAGTGCGGAAGCTAATAAAGTAGTAACGTAAAAGTACGAATAAATAAAAACTAGCATACATCAGGTAGAAGTAATAAATGCTAGCGTAAGTGAGACACAAGTTCAGAGCAGAAAGCCTAAAGCAGTCCAAACTAAAATGACGCGACAACAGTACACCCGAAGGTGGCCCTACGCTGGTGATCGTCTGTCAGAAATGCTGGGAAAGCCCTCTGGGAAACCACCAAACCAACTGAACAGCTAGAACCTGGAGGGACGCAAAACAAAAGCGTGAGTGGGCAAAAACAAAGCTTTTCGAAAACCATTTCAAAATCAAGATTCTAACCCCTCGCCGTAAAACCTGTATACTTCCCAGAAAATAAACATATGTACGTATATATAGATAAGCCAATCATGCTCAAGAATATGCCATGTCGAAACCTCATAATGAAATGCAAGTGCTCAGGTATAAATCATATCAATAACATATAATCTGGCAACCGGAGTCACCTAACGTGACCTGTACGGCTGAATCTAGAGCTTAGATCTCAATCACTATAACTGAACCTGCCCACGAGTCGGAACCACCTAAAGTGGTCTGTACGACAGGCCTGGGTGTAATACATATAAACGCTCTAGTGCTATGATCACGTGAAGGCTGTGCGAATAATCGTGGGTCACCTACGAGTCGGAACCACCTAAGGTGGTCTGTACAACAGGACTGTGCACCTAACTTGGATCCAAGCTGAGCGTGTGGTGCGGGAGGTGAACAACACGTGAAGGACTGTGCCCTACTCTGGGTGGGAGCAGTAACACCGGGGGTGCAGGTTATGAGCTCTCTAAGCATCTCGAATCACTACTGAATATAAACGTGAATAACATTTACCTGGCACTTACCTGTGCATCCACAGCACCAAATATGCATATGTATAAAAATATATACGCCCAATAATGCAACTAATGATGGATAATTGACGATAATATAATGTTTGGCATATAACTAATAAGCATTTAAATCAATTTCTGAGAAAATATAAGTATATAGGTATATACGGAAAACCAAAAGCCCACTCACTAGTAAGTGGAAGGGTCGTAACCCCCCTACCTCGAGTGACCACGCTCGTCCTCGGGATATGTCTCACCTATATGCGAAATAACTATAAAAACGTTAATTTTAAAGTACATAACCAAACTTTAGAAATAACTTCTCATACAATGCTCAAATGGGGTGTATGAATACACCAACGTGATCTACTCAACCTCACGAACATCCCCAAATTTTTAAAATAATTTTTCATCACCGCACGCGCCCCCACGCGCCGGCCAAGGCACGGCCACACGCGCCGGCCACGCGCAGGCACGTGCCTGGCACGCTGACGGCGTCAACTGACGTCGTAGGGAATATTCTGTCAGTTTTGACAGATTCCGTCAACGGTGTCAGGAATATTCCGTCAGACTTGACGGAATATTCCGTCTTCTTCCCCGGCGAGCCTCCGGCGCCTAAAAATCGCGAAAACTTTAAACTTCGATATCTTCTTCGTTTTTCAACCAAATTCCACGATTTTGGTATCAAAATGAAGCTTAGAACTAGAGGAACACAATCATACTACTTTCAAGGGTTAAAAACCACGAAATCTCACCTGCAAAATCGATCCAACTCTGGCCAACTTCGAAACCAACGATCCCGACGTCCAATTCCTTCAAACGAACTACTCCGAGCCTCCTTGGGACCTCACCAAGCTTCCTACAAGCTTGAAATTTCCTAAAACGTGAGAAATCACGTGTGCATGAATAGTACCTCAAATCGGACATTGTTGAATCGACGTGAAAACGATGGAGTTCTTACCTGAAAATGGTATGGTTGGACTCCTACAAGCCTTACGAGCTCGAATATGGTCTTGGTTTCCTCGATCTGTGGAGGTTTGATGGGTTTTGCGTGTGTGTCCGTACGTTCGAAGGAAATGGAAGGAATGGGGACTCAGGACAGTGCAGGAAACAGAGAGAAAGAGGGATGTGGTGTGTGGGAAGGAGTGTGTGGCTCCAAACATGCCAACCAAACTCAAAACAACCAACAAACGTAAAGAAAACAAACTAGGGGCAAAACTGTCTTTTCACGCATACGTTTTTGATATTTCTGGGACGGGCTGTCACAGGACCACTTCATGGTAATTTTCTAATATACTTGAAACATGACCAATTAACGTTATATTCTACATAAATTATAACAAGCAAATGCATTTGGTACAATATTAACTCTATTGTTCATTTTTATTATAACAAGTCAAAATTTGGTTCAATCTTTTTGTAATATTGCATGGGGTCATTATTTCATTGGACCACTTCACGGTAGCTTCATACTTTTTCTCATTTAACTTTCTCCTGGGTTGGAATATTAGATTGGGTGAACGACATATATACCATACGAATGTGAGGTGGTATGTCTTCGGAGATGATGACACGATTTTTTTCCCTGAGAATTTTGGTGAAGATACTTTCAAAGTATGATCGTGGTCTGTGATACTACATTGGGTCAAACTCCAAAGTTTACGAGCAAAATAGGGTATTCAGATTGGAATGGCTTATGGTGGTGCAGGTTTCGCTACAAGTCCCCGTTGGCAAAAGTACTGGCGAAGGTGTTTGATTCGTGTTTAGAACGATATCCGCATCTCTATGGAAGCAACTCTAGGATTTCCTCTTGCTTGGCAGAGCTCGGCGTTGGATTAACACGCAAACCCGATTTCCATCAGGTACTATTTGTTGAGAATAAATCTCACATTGATAGAATGAGGGATCTTGCAAGGGCTTTTAAGTAAGTTGGACTAATCTCTATTATCAATTGATTTTACGGTGGAACCTCAACTTTTTTTTGGTATTAGAGCAGATTGGCTAACATGTGAAGCCCAACGGCCAAACGTGCTCCACATCACACAATTTGTGTGTTCACGTATTTGGCTTGAAAATTCGCCATACATGAGAGGGCGTGTGAGAATGTAAAGATAAAAGAGTCTCATGAAAGGAGAAACCTTGCAAGTTTGGGCTACTCGTACAACTAATTTGTTTTATAGTGGAACCTCAACTTTCTTTACCCTTTTCTTAGCTCATCAAATCAAATATGACATTCACATTTTAGTAGTTTTAATTTGAAATATCCGTGGGCTTTTTGTTTGTTTCTATATCAAAGAAACAATATTTTGGTTTTGGGTTGGAAAATTGAAACAGAATGACATTCACGGCGATATGTTTGGTCTGGTGGCTTCGCATCCAGTGACACCTTTGGTATCCCTGCATCAAAACAGGAGTTTATACTTTTAACACAAGAGAACATCACAAGGATCCGTGTCGAAGGCCGGTTGTTTTCTTTCTGGATAATGTGTCTTCTGGTGCAGATAGAATCAAGAGCATCTACAAGAAATCTTATGAAAATTGCTTCTACGACATGGCTTCTCCGAGGAAGCTGGAGGAGGTCAGAGTGTACTCGCATAAGCTGAACTTTGATATGAAATAGGTATTGCTTATAATATAGGGTGCTTTAGATTTTGGCCCTTACAATTCATTATTTCTAGATAAAAACTCATCTATCATTATTCCATGTTTTCGTGAATTAATCAGTTGCAGGCGCCGCCAAGGCAATGTTGCGATGTATTATACCTTCTTCGGGCAGCAAGGTGATGGAAATTGAAATCAGAGAATGCAAAGAAGAAGAACTAATCCATATGCATCCGTAGGGGTGTTTCGTATTCGCATATAGCTGGATTAATTATACAGCAATATTATACCATACAGATCATGTAATATGTATGCCATAAATCACGAATTATTGTAGATGTTAGGGAAATTAATACTACTTAATAGTCTAATCCGATGTAAATTATGAATGCCGTTGTATTCGACATTGAAATCTGTTGTCTCGAATTCGACTGATTTCTTGGATGGAGGTTTCAAGGATCCACAAATCTAGAAAAGCCTAAATTCAAGCAAATTTGACTTGAAATTTATACAATGTTGAGTAAGGAGGCCACAAGAGATTGCTTAAGAAGCATTTCATATGCAACAATATGAAGTTCTGGCATCAAATTTCTTTGTTAGTTTTTTCGTACTTTTGCAAAGTTGGATTAAGAAATAGGGGTGTGCTATCCACACACCCTATTTTACTTCTCACACACCCCTTGATAATTTCTGTCTCTTGATCTTCTTCAATTCATCTGATCCGACGGCCGAAAATTAAAAAGGTGTGTGAGAAGTAAAATGTGGTCTGTGGATATTACATCCCAAGAAATAATGCACCATGTGAACAAAAATTGTGGTTTGTCTAAGCAAAGATTCAATATTTTTCTTATGTTTCTTATAATTGTTATCTTGAAATTTTAGAAGTTCCTCTAATTAAAGTTCATTGTTAGCAAGGGAGTAAAGTTAAAGTCTTCGATAATGAGCGCACCCGTTTCTCACTCCATGTCTTTGATTTATAAGTTCCTCAATATTGAGGCATCAAGACACTTCTTACACATCACCAGTGCATTGAACTGCACCGTGAAGGTGACTAAACAGAAGATTTTGAACATAATCGAATAAACAAGTCATGAACTTTATCATCAGACGATGGGGGTGCATCAATGAATTTGGTGTCTTTGTCACGTAAAGAGCATTGTTCGCGTCACCGTCACTAGGTATATGTATGTGCATCTGATCAGTATTTCAAAAACAACCTTTGTACCAAATTATAGCACCTTGACTTGGAGGACATCGCTTCCGAAGGTCTCGATCTACTTCAAGTAAATAATTTATGCAGTTTGAGAGGTCAATAGGAGCATTGCGCTAGCCCATATACAATGTACTTTAAATCAATAACCTATTCAAGCTGGTTCCTTATGTCCCACGTAAGAAGCTCCAAACGTATGGAGGGAAAAAAAAAAAAATATATATATATATATATAAGAGACTCAAAATTATTAGTATCTTCGACGAAGGCATGTTCAATATAATTGAAATAATCCTATACACGTGTTTGACGAAATGCCCTAGCACATACATGTTGACATCACTCACGCATCGACTACGCTCAGCAACACTTGTGAACAAAACTCAACAGGTCTCTCTCATGATTTCCCAAATTTCTCTTGGCCTATATACGCCAGCCGGCCAGGGGTGAATATTGCATTTAAAAAAGAAGAAGGATTGACCAAAAAAAGAAAAGAAAAAAGAAGTACTGGTTCTTCCAAGTCGTTGCTTAGAAGTACTTGTTTCAGTTTTGTATTTATTTCTTAACTTGGTTGCTGAGACGATGGTCGTGTACGGCGTGTTTACTTTGACTCTTTTTGGTATTCGACATTTGGATTTTATGTTTGGTGTTACTTTAATCTTCATAGAAACAAAGATACTAAAATTATGTAGACGTGATGAACTACACGTAATCAGATTCTGAAAACTACATATGCATATATAATCTTTCTTTCACCATTTTTAAAATTTAAGTACTTGCTCTAAATTTAAACCATTTTATAGTTTTTTATTTTTCCCTGTGTAAGTTATTTTCGATGACGAAATGTCCCGGAACATGTTTTGTTCAGCATTCATCACATAATCTTTGGTGTTTCATTTGCTGCAATTTTTTCTGCTTCTAATCCATTTTATCATTTTTAAAATGATTTTTTTTGCATTATACGCTTCTTATTTTCTCCTTATTTCATGCATTCTTCAAATTTACTATCCCGCTAAAGCGCAAAAGATTAAATATTTTCAACTGGAACACCGCTGCCATTTACACTTCCGGGAGTGTCTATGAGCAAAACCTAGATCTTACCCTCACTTCCCTTGTTGCCAATGCATCTCAAACAGGATATTACATCACAAGCATTGGTCAGAACAACGACGTCGTTTATGGCCTTGATCGATGCCGCGGCGATCTCTCTAAAATCGATTGCCAAGCTTGTGCATATATAGCAGCAATTGAGATCAGGCAATTCTGTTTTATTGTACTTAGCTCAATGCATTAGACCTGACCTCTTCTTGATTGTTAATCTTTTGGCAAGATACCGTAATGTACCAACACGCAGACACTAGACTGGTGTTAAAGACATTTTCCGCTACCTTAAGGGTACTACGGATTTGGGCTTATTCTATCCCTATGGATCCTCGAGTGATGCCTTACCCCCCTTCTCGAGTTGATTCTCACCTTGTTGGTTATGCCGACGCATGATACTTATCTGATCCGCCCAAGACGTGTTCTCAAACAGGTTATTCTTTATCGTTGGAGGCACCGCAATCTCTTGGAGGTGAACTAAACAGACCTTAGTTACCACTTCGTCTAACTATGCTGAAATTTTTGCCTTACATGAAGCAACTCGGGAATGCTTTTGGTTGAGAGCAGTTGTGGGCCATATTCGAAGCTTCTGCGATCTTTACCTCGTCGTTGATGTCCCTACGATAATCTATGAAGACAACGTAACATGCATTGAATAGCTCAAGAAGGGTTACATCAAAGGAGACAACACCAAGCACATTACGTCGAAGTTCTTCTTCTCACATCAACAACAAAAGCATCAGAAGATTGAAGTCACGCAAATCCGTTTACAAGACAATTTGGTCGACCTCTTCACCAAATCATTGCCGAAGATGATATTTCATAAGCTTGTTCATGGAATTGGTATGCGTAAACTTCCTAAAGCGAAGCTTTCAAGTACTCCTATAATCGTTCGATCGCTAGATGCGAAATGGGATCCCTTCCTTCCGAAGGAGGATGATGAAGAGATTTTAGAAGATTGAAGTGTGATAGGCATTTTATTGTACTTAGCTCAATGCACTAGACCCGACATCTCCTTCACTGTTAATCTTTTGGCAAGATACAGTAATGCACCAACACCCAGACACTGGATTGGTGTTAAAGACATTTTCCGCTACCTTAAGGCTACTACAGATTTGGGCTTATTATATCCCTATGGATCCTCAAGTGATGCCGCACCCCCTCTTCTCGAGTCGATTCTCACCTAGTTGGTTATGCCGACGCATGATACTTATCTAATCCATACAAAGGCGTGTTCTCAAATGGGTTATGTCTTTATCGTTGGAGGTACCACGATATCTTGGAGGTCAACTAAACAGACCTTAGTTACCACTTCGTCTAACCATGCAGAAATTCTTGCCTTACATGAAGTAACTTGGGAATGCTTTTGGTTGAGAGCAGTTGTGGGCCATATTCGAAGCTCCTGCGATCTTTACCCCGTCGTTGATGTCCCTACGACGATCTATGAAGACAACTCAATGCATCGAACAGCTCAAGAAGGGTTACATCAAAGGAGAGTGTCACATCCCGGCCCGGGGCAGATCACTTCCCGGGCCCGTTCTACCACCGTAGCACGATATTGTCCACTTTGGGCTTACCATTCCTTCACGGTTTTGTTTTTGGGAACTCACGAACAACTTCCCAGTGGGTCACCCATCATGGGATTGCTCTAGCCCCCTTCTCGCTTAACTTCAGAGTTCTTACGGAACCCGAAGCCAGTGAGCTCCCAAAAGGCCTCGTGCTAGGTAGAGATGGGAATATACACTTAAGGATCACTCCCCTGGGCGATGGGATGTCATAGAGAGAACACCAAGCACATTACGCCGAATTTCTTCTCACATCAACAACAAAAACATCAAAAGATTGAAGTCACGCAAATCCGTTCACAAGACAATTTGACCGACCTCTTCACCAAATTACTACCGAAGACAACATTTCAGAAGCTTGTTCATCGAATTGGTATGCGTAAACTTTCTGAGTTGTAATATTGCTATTTCTCTTTGAAATTGTATCAAACTCATAGGGAGTATCCTGAAGTATACTTGCTTGACCTTAATATACTTTTTTCCCTACGATTAGGGGCATTTTTCCTACTGGGTTTTTACTAACTAACTAGGTTTTAACGAGGCACCCACCTTGGGTTGATCATATCCCTGAGGACGTCCCGTAGACGTTTCATTTGACTTTGCATTGCTCACGCATTTTTCCTTAGACTATGGATTTTGTACCTACTCGGGTTTTTGCCATAGCCTTAGGGGTTTTTTTGTGAGACTTACTTCCTTATACAAGTTCCTACCTTATTTGAGAATAACGTGTTCCCAGAATCAGTGTCGATGAGTTGACTTCCTCAACTTCTACATGATGCCGAATCTACTTGAGTATTTACACACTTAAGGGGGAGTGTTATAAACTTCTAATTTAAGTGTGATTGTGTAAATGCTAAATTAGATTTGATTTTAGTTATCTTTTCCTATATGGTCTTGTATTCCTTGGAGATGAAGGATTTCTTATTTCCCTTATTACCATAAATAAAGGCACTACGTTGGGGGATAACACGCATTCCTCTACACATCCCCACAAATACATTCTCTCTACAACCTCTCTCCTTGCCGCAGGCGCTCTTCCCTAGTCAGTTAAATATAGGTCACAACAGAAACAAAATTTTTATTGGTTAGAATGTTAGTAGAATAAGGGACCCACTATTAAAATGAATTAAAAATAAATTTGACATTGATGTCAAATTTGATTCCAAATCACAAAGCCTTCAAATCCAGTCAACAAATAATATTTCGGTTGGAGAGACTTTTGATGTCAAATATGCACAATGGCATTCCACCTATGATTTTGACATCTCCTTTGGAGATACTCTTAGAAAGTTATGTATACATACCTTGATTTGATTTTTATCGATGTTGTGAACTTGCTCAAATTGTCAAACAAGTAATACCAAAATTATTTCTTATAAACAGCTTATAAGCTCTTACAAGATTTTACTTCGCCAATGTAAGACTTTTTTTAACGTTCACGTTCTCATAAAAACAACCACTAAAGAACAATTTTCTTTGCTTCACATGCACGCTGCAAGCCAAGGGAAGGCACAAATTGTTTACACCAAACTACTAGCAAACTACTAGCATTCATCACTGAATGTTTTCTTTTGTGGTGATCTACTGAGATTTTTACACTTCTCTCCTGTCCCCATCGTTGAAATCTTGTTTACCAAACCAAAATTTGGTGAACCATTTGCTTTTGGTAAACCGAACCAGATTTGGTGAAGCTATAATTTCATGTTCTTCCATACATACAGATTCCATCAGCTGCTGAAAGTTTGCATTGGAATATGTGAGCATTTTTTGTTTTCAGTAGTAACTTATATATTTTCTTTTCAAAGCAAATTTTCAGTATATTTGAAACACGACCACGTGACGCTATATTCTACATAAATTATAACAAATGAATTTATTTTGTTAATATATTTTAGGAACTGTTATTAGCATTCTACAAATCTCATTCTACACTCCTTACAAGTGTATTTTTCACTAATTATAGAAAGTTTGAAGTGTAAAATAAGATTTTTGGAGTGCCAATAATAATTTTCTATATTTTAAAATAAGACTTATGGACTATGTCATTCATTATTATTATTATAACACGTGAAAATTTGGTACATTCTTTTCGTAATATTGCATGGGGTCTAGTTGAAGCTGCATCCTCGTAATTCTTATGAATATATGTGGGGTTTTTTTTTTAGTGAAACAGAATATATGGGTGCTTGGTTTGGTTAGTTGTGCAGACATTTGGAAATAAAACGTGTCGGTATTTCATTGAACCACTTCATGATAGCTTCATTTTTTTTTTCTTATTTAACTTCTGCCGGTTTGGAATATTAGATTAGGTGAACCGATGTATACCTACTAAACATGAATGAAGATGAAGTCAGCCACCCTGTTCATTAACTGTTTAACGTGCAGGCCATAAACCACTCCATTTGCAAAAGTTAATTTGGCTTGGCTCTTTTGTTTTTCATGTCTACTTTTTTGTTTTTGTTAACAATATTTAAACATCAGATTCAGTTTAACACCGCCATGTAAAAGTGTTATTCAACTCAAATCATAACACTTGTGTTTTTTTTTTGTTTTAATGTACTCTAGAAACGTAATATATCAACATTTATATACTTATATTATAAAAAAAATACACTACGATACATGTTAAAATTTATCTCCACTTTAATTGTTCATAGATTTCAATTATGTATTCATTAAAAAAAACATTAAATTATGTCAAGAAGTTAATATATGAATCCACATTCAAAACAATGCTTGAATTAATAATTCACATTAAATGGTGACAAGAAAAAATTGAACTATTTACTCACTATGTTATCTACATAAAAAAAAGATAGGTAGTACTATACACACAATCATTTTTACTTCTCATACAATCTTTATAGTTTTCAGCCGAATCAAATAAATTAAAAAAAATCAATGATAAAAATTTAATAAATATGTGCAAAAAGTAAAAATAAATGTGAAAATAAAATATTCGAAAAATATCATTGTTGCGGCAGAAGAAGAAAGTATATTTTTACCAACATGAGCCTACAACCTATCCTTATCTAATCATCATGACACTTGACCAACTAAAACAACTAAACCCTAAATTAATATTATCTTCACTTTCAAATGCCTCTCCTTTTTCCTTCAACCTCTATATATCTATGTGGTTGGCTCTCTCTACTACTTAATTCTACTCTTCAACTTATTCACCCTTTCATTACTAATTAAGTAAAATATGGCAGCTCCAAGAAACACATTGATGAACCTGGTTATTGTGACCATGCTCATAGAATCGGCCATGGCAGTCACTTACACAGTCGGAGGTCCAAATGGGAGGTGGGATTCAACCACTGATCTTAAAACTTGGGCATCGTCACATTCATTCTTAGTCGGAGATAATCTCAGTAAGTTATTTACAAACCCAAAGATATTGATTGGAAATATCTTATAATATAGGAGTTGATATTCGCACACTTCAACTAGTCAACATTCCCTTCTAGTGAAAAAAAAAAAAAAAAAAAAAAAACAGCGAAGAAAGGGAAGACCGCGTGATGAGGATTTTGAAGTGCTACTACCATAATTTTATCCGATGTTTACTTAAATTAACAAATACTTTTTGTATGTACGCAGATTTTCAGTACTCACCAAACCATGAAGTGATTGAAGTGCCAAAGGCAGACTATGATTCTTGTCAAGCAAGGAACTCAATTCAGTCTTACAGTGGTGGAAGCACTACCATTCCTCTATCTTCTCCAGGCAAAAGGTATTTCATCTGTGGAACAGCTGGACATTGTAGCCAAGGAATGAAGCTTGAAGTCCACACTCTTGCAACTTCTGCCGCACCAGCAGCTTCTCCTCTAAGCCCTTCCCCACTAGAATCTCCTTTAGTTCCAACTCCTTCGCCGGCAACTCCTAGTTTGGCTCCGGAACCTTCTATTGCCTCGCCGGCAGAACCTGTACCACAATCTGCTCCCACATTGTCCCCTACTCTGCCATCTGGATTACCCATCAGTCCTGCATCAGACCCTACTGATCACATTCCTTCAACTGAAGCTCCTAGTTCCATTTCTCGAACCGGGTCTTCACCGCAACCTTCTGCTTCAGCACCAAACTACATAGGCAGTCTCCCAATCAGTCTCACTGTCGGGTTCAGCGTTTTGATTATGTTGTTGCTAGCCCACTAGGGTTTTAAGCAAGGTATATTTACGTGATTGTACATGAAGAATGTATTTATTTTTGTTTTCTGTGTGACAAAATTTCCTCAGCATTTTATTCCAATTTTATACAATATTTATAAAATGTACAAGCTATAACTAAAAATCCAGTTTTACTTGGAAATTATAAGTACTACTAGCTAGCTACTACATAAGTTGGTTAATTAACTTGCCTCCACTTTTTTTTTAATATACATTAAGAAAAAAAAAACCAAGATTATTGGAATATAGAAATACCCCATTGATTGTATGATTTTAAAGATTTTGAAACATTCCAACCAGATTAGTTGAAGCAGACCCAACTGCACCAGCAGTTGATCTAACCACTCAACATCCATATTTAATAGATAGATGAACAGTTTATCATGAATTTATTACTTAGTAAAAATGCCGTTTATTTGTTCAATATGTATGAATGACCAAATGATCTCTTATTTGATTGATATTTAATAGATGTGATACTTAAATGAAGATTATGAAATAAGCGGCTTCAATTATAAAATTTGTACGGTCAAAATAAATTGATCACAATTAATAGATAAGGTGATGCATCTTTCATAAGAGGTGAATGAAAAGTATTTTCTTTTATAAACTACACATCAATAGTATTGACATATTGCATGATGGTTATTTACAAACTATGGAACTTTCTGTTATAACAAGTTGAATTATTAGGGTATTTGAGTGAAAACCTGTATGCAATTTCGCATATGTATCGAAAGCAAATATTGCAATCTGCGATAAGAAAATGCAAATATTGCAAACAAAATACTCGTTTGCAAGTGTACTTTTGCAACCAAAATACTCATTTGCAAGTGTATTTTTAAAGTAACCGAAAATATTTATAAATTCTAAAAGTACTCAAAAAAAAATTTTGTAAAAAATAACTTCAAATTAGACCAAATATTGTATTACTAGGAATAGGACAACCGACAACGTAGTAAACCTGATTGACGGGCAAGGGTTGTCAGTCCTTTTACTTTCGATGCCCTTCTCTGCCCTTCTGTTGTGTGACTCACGTTAACATTTTATATTACTATTTATTTTTATCTCATTATTTTTATAAAAAATAAAAAAAAATATTGACATGATTTAACCTGATCATACAAAATAGAAAGGCAAAAAAGGCCATCGAATGGCAGACAATTCTTTGTCCTTGATTGACAAGGGCATACGGAGACATCGAAATCCACAGAAGAAAAGAGAAAAAGTAGGCATCACCATGGTAAAACAAGAAACACTGGAACACTGACTGAGACAGTCTAAATTCACGAAAAGTAGTCGAATTGCGTGATAAATGATGCTTGATTCTGATCCGTTCACCGATTGAGATTTGTAAAACGATCTCGTTCGGATTTCGCGAATCAAATACACAAAAATTCACAAACACCTTTATATACAAATCCACGTACCCAACCCATTGATCGTCAATCCAAGAATATGAATCAAAAGAATAAAAACAGCTGCTCTCCAAAATTCGAAATAAATTGGGCCAAATTTTTAACTTGTACTATGGCAGCTAAACACGGGCAGGACCTGCAGTCACCTGGGCTTCACTTGGCGGATTGAACGGCGGCGCCGCCTTTGTAGCTGGCGGAGACGGCTGAAAAGATGGCGGATTGGAAGTTGGGTTAGGCGGAGGTGGACTCAGAATTGATGTCGGCGGAGGTGGACTCAGAATTGATGACGGCGGAGGTGGCCACAGAATTGATGTCGGCGGAGTTGGCGGAGGTGGGCTTAGAATTGATGTCGGCGGAGGTGGCCTCAGAATTGATGTCGGTGGAGTTGGCGGAGGTGGGCTTAGAATTGATGTTGGCGGAGGTGGCCTCAGAATTGATGTCGGCGGAGTTGGCGGAGGTGGGCTTAGAATTGTTGTCGGCGGAGTTGGAGGAGGCGGGCTTGAAGTTGACGTCGGCGGAGACGGGGTTAAATCTGGGTTGGGCGGCGGAGGCGGGTTGAAATTGGCGTTAGGTGGGCTGGGCTGGGTCAGAGTTGGATCGGGATTTGGTGAGCTGGGCTGGTTCGAACCGGAACTGGGGTTAGGGAATTGAATTGGTGGGAAGGGGAGAGGGCTGCAGGAATCCGAATCGGCGGAGCATTTGTGGGATTTATGGAGGCCGTGGCGGAGAACGCCTAATCCGAAAACCAGCCCGAACACTACCAACACTGTCACCAAAAAAATGAAGATCTTTGTTGCTTTTCCCACATAGCACATTTTGGTTAGCTGGGTTTCTGCTGGCTTTTGCAGGGTGTGGGTTCAGAGAGAATGGCGGTGGTGGTGGGGTTTGCTGGGTGTTTTTCGTCGTCTTCTTTTCATGGCGAAGAAGGCGGAGGAAGAGAGTGAGGGTAGTGACGGTGCATTTTTCGTCCTTTTTGGAGTTACTAGGATAGAGAGAGAGAGAGAGAGAGAGAGAGAGAGGGAGAGAGAGGGTAAGTGAGGCACGTGAAGGCTAATTTTCAATGGGAAAGTCGATTTCTCCCAGTTCTGGCCATTTGCCAAGGCCAACTGCATTGGCTGTTTTCTCAAAAGAACCTGTTTCAGGAGAAATTTTTTATTGAGACGAATACGAGTGATACATCACGTGTTTTTATGTAAATTGTAAAATTTTTATTTTTGAAGTTATTAACTTTTTAACACATATATTTCACAATTTGTTTAGTGACACGTGGTGTACCAACTCGTGTGCCGATCACACTGAAAAATCTCTCATGTTTCAACTGCAGTTTTGCAGAGTGATTTCCCACAATGCCCTTTCATCTTCTTGACAATAAGTAGAGATGCAACTCGATCGGGTTAGATAGATTGGATGATTAACCGATCCAACTCTATATTTCTTCCCATTCAGTAATTTAGGTTCAATCGGCTTGGAAAATATTAACCATCTCAATGCAAAATGAATTTAGGTTAACTCTACTTTAAATTAAAGAAATTATAATAATGATTTCTCAATTTTAACTCTATTGAAGTAAGTTTCTCAACTAAAAATTCGTTGATTTTTAACTCATCAAAACGTGCAATTATGGTTCTTTTTGTTAAATTCGTTAAAACTTCCGTCAAAATGAGTCACTGTCACACACATGAGACTAAATCAAGGGGCAAATATGGAAAACAATATAAGAAAAATTGTAGCTAATGGTCTCCCAACTTTAATCTAATTAAAGAAATGATCTCTTAACTTTAACACACTTGGTGTAGTGGTCCCTTAATTTTAACATAATTGTAGAAATGGTCATTCCAGCATGACTAATTTTGATACAATTCTGACAGAGTTGACAAAAAAACTATAGAGGCATGTTTTGATCAAGGTTCTAAAAAACGCTAGGCGCTGGTCGGGCGGCGGACTGGCGCTTAGCGCCTAGGTGGCTAGGTGGCCTAGGAGGATTTAGGTAAATTTCTTGTACATCTTGTAAATAAGTGCATATTGACACTTACAAAAAATTAAACTTGTATGAAATTCATGGATAAGATAATAAAAGAATAATAAAATGCAAAAAGAGTATCCAACAAGTCCAAAATTTAAAAACATATTAAGCATATATGTCATAAAACCATAGTGAGGAGTATTGTAGGATGACACATGTACAATAAGTTCCCAATTTTAAACCACACAAAATGCAAAAATGAGGAAAATAAGGAAATATAGTAATGTAGATAGGATTTTTTTTTTTCAAAAAAAAAGAAAAAAAAAAAACACTCCTAGCCTCCTAGCCGCCTAGCACTGCCTCACCCACCTAAGTGCCGCCTAGACCCCAACCGATTTGCAAGAAAACATTTTGGGTCACCACCGCTTAGGCCGTTTTGTAGAACATTGATTTTGATGAGTTAAGATACTAATGGTCATAAATTTTTAATTGAAAGATTATTAATCCAGTTAAGTTAAAATTAAACAACCATTATTACAATTTTCTTCGTTAAAAGGAGGTGAGCGGTGTAGAAAGTTAGTACTTATGACTAAATTAAGGAGGTAGATTTTCTGCTTCCTGTTACCGTGCCCTTCACATCTCCTTCTATTTATGCGGTCACGGTTAAGTCACGTCAACATTTTATATTCCTATTATTTTTTGTCTTATTATCTTTATTAAAAAATCAATATAAAATATTGACGTGGCTTAACCATGACCACATAAATAAAAGGGAATGAGAAGGGTACGGTAACAGGAGGGCAGACAATATTCCTCTCTAAATTAAAGCCGTTGAAGATGATATATTGGGAGTCTGCCTGCCAGAGTGCCATGTCATTTCTCTATGGCATGGAGCTGGATCACTTGATTGTGACACATTACCCTCGGTTTCGCTCTTATTTACAGCATTTATAATGGGCTCCAATTCTTTTGAAGCCTTTTAGTTGTGGGCTTTTTCTAGACTAAATTCAGTCTCTATAATGAATGGATCGATGCTACCTGAGCCCAATATGGCAAAACCATTGCTTCACATCACAATTAACAAGTAAGACGCATTTGATTTAGTAGTGGTTGTCTCCATTTCGTTGAGGATGTCTCCAATTCGATTCACTTGAAGGTAAGGACGAAACATATTTATGAAGAGTTTGTTAACTAGCCATGGCCAAGGAAAATCCAGGAACATTCCCTCCCAACAGCAAGATGAAGCTCGCACTACGTTTCGGTTTGTTTCTCTTCGCTACTTACATTACCCTTAAACTCTATGAAGCATTTTGTCAAGCATCTTGCCTTCATAGCGAGTAAGCGGACATTGCATACACTTTATCCTTTATGTGGATCTGCTAGTGGCCATGACTAGCCTACTAAAGTGACGAAGGTTTGTTATGAATAAATATCCTATCATTCGTCAAAAAAAGAAAAGGCATGCCTCTTTTCAAAGGGATACAAACTTTTTTTTTGTCTGGATGCAATTTTTTTGTTTCTATCTTTTGAACAGATGCTCTCAAGTCCACAGAAAAAATGGAGAAGAAAATGACTTGAAAGAAACAATAAATCATCAAAATAAGCATGGCCAGAAAATAATGTGGCCACTGTCTTCTCTTTCCCTCTCCAACCAAAACTCTCTAATCTTCCATAACCATAACCTATATATCGTTGCAGGCAACAAGAAACCAGAGTTTTCATGCTACATCACGCTTCATGTCTTACGGACTCCCTTTCTGCTCAATAATGTCATACAATTGTTGTTTTGGTGACAATTAGGCCATACATATAGTCACCATGACAACATTGACAAGAACAACAGCTCTAGGTGGTTTGGGGGAGACAATAAGTGCTTACCACAGTAGGTGCTTCTTCTGCCGGCATTTTCCATTTTTAAACGTACTCGAGAGTGCAGAGGGAGCAAGTACAGTATGGAGGCAAGGAGTCAATTCAGCTCCGGCATTCTGCTCCCGAAGTGCAATCCAAAGTCCTCGAGCTATTGCATCTGAAATCTCCACCACAGAACGAAAGGTAAGTGACTGCCTCAAAATCCTCTCATGTACAAATTCTTCCATACATATCTTAAGGATGGCAACAGGATAAAAACTTCCCTAAAATAGGAATGTCACTGTTGCGGTATCTCAAGTCAATCATTAATGTAAGATTGTTAAAACGCATAATAATGCATGATTAAGTTAAGTTACTGAAACAGACGCAAGAAGCATGACGTTGTAGTACTGACCAAACAAAAAAGCATAAGTTTGAACTAACTTTAAAAGCCTTGAAGGGCAACTTTACTTTTCACTCTAAGATTAATGAAGCTTTAGGTGTCCCATGGGATAAAATGACCTTAATACCCCTTGTAAAAAGGCATCTATGACCTAATTTTGTAAAGTTGTTTGAGGGCATATATGGGATCAGACCCTCAGAGGTGGTCTTAATAGCACCTAAAGAATGCAAACAAAAAAAGCATGTGGATTCAGCTGATAGATGACCCCCCATTGGGACTACCAAGACTGTGTGTGTGTGCAAAGATAAGGTGCAGCAGAAGAAGTCCTTATCTTTCTTTTTTGGGTTACCAAGGATAGTGATATATTTCTATAAAAAGGCAGCTGGGAGCAGTAAAGTTGCACCGACTCCATCCGTCAGACAAATCAAACCCTAAAAAATCTTCTCTTACACAACAACGCAGGTTGCAACCACTCTCACTTATCAAGAAAAAATGCTCAAAAACTATGTGCCGATCTTCGTGATGCTCCCTGTAAGTCATGATTCTTCTTTTCACTCACACTATGTATGCATTATAGTATGAAATATAATGATCATCACAAAGTAAAAGTTCTAATTTTTCCTTTCGGGTTTTTCTTCGTACCAGTTGGGAGTTGTTACGGTTGACAATGTTTTGGAAGACGGGGACAAACTCGTTAAGGATCTGAAGGAGTTACGGGCAGCGGGTGTTGATGGGGTCATGATAGATGTGTGGTGGGGGATCATAGAATCAAAGGGGCCTAAGCAGTATGACTGGAGTGCTTACAGGAGCGTGTTTCAAGCAGTTCAAGATTGTGGGCTGAAATTACAAGCTATAATGTCATTCCACCAATGTGGTGGGAATGTAGGAGATGTTGTAACCATCCCCATTCCCAAATGGGTGCTTGAGATCGGAGAATCAGACCCTGATATCTTTTATACCAATCTCAAAGGTAATAGGAACCCGGAATACCTCACTCTAGGTGTGGATAACCTGCATCTCTTTGATGGACGAACTGCTGTGCAGGTAAGGTTCACAAGATTTCTATATGTAAAATGTTCATGCCATCAACTAGCATTCATATTTAGGAAAACTAATGAAAAAAACTTGAAAACTTTGAGTTTTAACGATAAGGACGAAATAAAGAATACGGTGAATAGTACCAGGATTGACTTTTTAGTGTAAAAATGTGGTGTTTTTGTTAAAGTTTCCTTCATTTTTATCAAGGTTACTTATATGTTAATCGTTCTGTTACAGATATACAGTGATTACATGAAAAGTTTCAGAGAGAACATGTCGGATTTTCTAGAAACTGGACTTATTATAGACATTGAAGTAGGGCTTGGACCGGCAGGAGAGCTCAGGTATCCCTCTTATCCGGAAAGTCAAGGGTGGGCTTTTCCAGGGATGGGAGAATTTCAGGTGGGATTGATTTATTAACATGACGATCCCATGGCTTACTGGAAATATTCGAGCAAGTTTTAGTTTTAAACACGTTACCTATTCCATATTGCAGTGCTATGACAAGTATCTCCAAGCAGAGTTCAAAGAGGCTGCAACAGCTGCGGGTCATCCTGAATGGGCTTTGCCAGATAACGCCGGAGAATATAATGACACTCCTGAATCCTCAGAGTTCTTCAGATCAAATGGGACATATGTTACTGAGAAAGGGAAGTTCTTCTTGACTTGGTACTCTAACAAATTACTGATCCATGGTGATCAGATCCTGGATGAAGCCAACAAAGTTTTTGTGGGCTGTAAATTAAAGCTAGCAGCCAAAGTAAATATTCTAATGTCATAAAAAAAACTCTTATTAGCAGTACCTACGATCTTTCACCCAATGTTAATCCGAGAATCTGCTTGATTACAGGTATCTGGAATCCACTGGTGGTATGAAGTTGATAATCACGCCGCGGAGCTTACCGCAGGATACTACAACTTGAAAGATAGAGATGGGTACCGACCTATAGCCAGGATGCTGTCAAGGCATCATGCCATTTTGAATTTCACATGTTTAGAGATGAGGAACTCTGAACAAAGTGCTGATGCCAAAAGTGCGCCTGAGGAACTTGTTCAGCAGGTAAACATCTTGAAATTTATTAAGACCAGCTTTCCTACTTCAGGTCTCGTTTGTCATTGAAAAAAAAATCCGTTTCACTGTTGTTTTCTTGTACAATTCCCTCCATAAAACATGTCGAAATGATTGTCTTGGAAAACCATACAAAAACTAATCTTTCTTTAGTTTGACAATTATACAGTATCTAGTAAAACCCAGGTTCTAAATAAAACATGTTTCTTAACGAATTTATGCTATTCAATTACAAAAATATGGAAAGTAAAAAGCACATCAATAACAAATTTAAAAAGGAACAAACAAGTTAAACTAAGGATGGATTGAAAATGGACAACTGCATTCTTGACAATCATGTTTTGCAAAATACATGTGCAGGTTTTGAGTGGAGGTTGGAGAGAAAACATAGAAGTTGCCGGAGAAAATGCACTTTCTAGATACGACAGTGTGGCTTATGACCAAATCCTTCTAAATGCTAGACCAAATGGCATCAATAAAGACGGCCAACCAAAATTAAGGATGTATGGGGTGACATACCTTCGTTTGTCTGATGAACTACTACAAAAGTACGAATCTTGATATATTCAAGATATTTGTAAAGAAGATGCATGCTGATCAGGTAAACAAATCTTCGTGTATGTGATTTAAGAATATGCTCTTTCATGGTGTAATATGTCATCGGATCCCTCATTTATGCAGGATTACTGTCCAGACCCAGAGAAGTACAATCACCACCTAGGTCCTTTGGAGAGGTCGAAACCAGAGATTTCGATTGAAGATCTTCTGGAAGCAACCAAAGCAGAGGAGCCATTCCCATGGGATAAAGAAACAGATATGAGTGTCAATGATGGAGCTGGTGGACTTGTTGGCCTACTTTCTAAGTTGATAAGCAAAATCTTAGCTCTATTTAAGTGATACAACAGCAAGGCTGGGAGAAAAGCAACCTATAAATTGGCATGGGGTGGCAAACTGGCAATGTGAAAACAATTTGAGATGTTTTCTGTTTGAATAAAAGAATCTGTATTTCCCATAGAATGAATGTACAGACAATCTCATGACAGAATCATTCACCAGTAATCCCCACAAGAGCATACTCCATGTCTAAAGTGGTGGAACCTGTGGATATCTCGCATTATAATCTCTCGATTCATAAGCATAGAGATCATTTTTGTTACTGTGTGGCAATCGTTACATACACGAAGATTCTTGGTTATCCTGATTGTTGTCCCAGGTTGTGTGTTAATAAGGGCAAAAGCAATTGCCAGTCTCTCGCTATGATCCCAAAGCATTTTCTCCTTTACTTCCTCTTCAACGTCATAGAACACTGAAGCGGTGTCTGGCTTGTATCCAGCCTCCTTGAGCTGCAGATTCAAGTCTGTTAACTTGGCATAAATATCTCGTGTCTGTGGGTGTGACTTATCTCCAACTAAAAACCTATGAACCATCCTATCTAACTCCACAAAGCTGCAGCCGGGTGGTTTCTTCAGTCCCTTCCTTCTCACCACAGCTCTCACTCTTTCCACATCATCCCATCTCTTCTCAGAAGCATAAATGTTGGAAAGGCAAATGTAGCTCCCCACTCCTTTTGGGTTCATTTCAAAAACATTTTGTGCAGCAATCTCCGCCAGCATAACATTCTTGTGTAACCTGCAAGCAGAAAGAAGTGCAGCCCATATATCACTGCTAGGTTCTACCTGCATGGTCTTAATGAGCTCATATGCTTCATCTACGCGCCCTGCTCTTCCCAGAAGATCCACCAAACATGAATAGTGAGCAAGTCCAGGCTTCACATTGTATTCTACCGTCATTCTATTAAAAATATCTTTACCTTCATTGACTAGGCCGGCATGGCTACATGCTGACAAAACAGAAGTGAGAACCCCTTCATCTGGAGTGAAATTATTTGCTACCAGTTCGTGATAACAAGAGATTGCTTCTTCTCCCCTCCCATGAGCACCATATCCTGAAACCATAGCACTCCAAGAAACCAAGTTTTTTACAGGCATCTCATCAAAAACAAAACGGGAACAAGACAAACTTCCACATTTAGAATACATGTCTACAAGGGCAGTTCCCACAAAGATATTTCCACCAAACCCTTTCTTGACAATGCATGAATGAACAGACATGCCAAATTGCAAGGCGCTGATCTGGTCACAAGCTCCGAGCACACTTGTGACAGTTACTTCATCAACCTCTGCACCTTCCATAACCATTTGGCAGAAAAGTCTCAAGCTTTCAAAAGCATCTCCATTCTGCTCATAACCACTGATCATAGAGTTCCATGACACAGTATCTTTCAATTTCACCCCATCAAATAATCGCCTCGAATAAGCCGCAGACTTGCACTTACAATACATCTCAATAAGAGAATTGGTCAAAAACTCGTTATGTATTTCACCACTGTTTCGAACCACATATGCATGAACTGCTTTCCCCTCCTTCAAGGCCATCAACTCAGCACAACCAGAGAGTATCCCAAGCAAAGTTGTCCCATCTGCTCTCAATCCCGCCTTCCCCATTTCCTCAAAAACTGCTAAACCCTCTGTTGGGTCACCATTTCTCACACAACCCGCAATCATTGTGTTCCAAGAAGTTAGATCTCTCCCAGGCATTCTATCGAACACCATCCCTGCCAACCTCATATCCCCGAACTTGGAGTACATTGCCAGAAGAGCATTACCCACATAAACATCCGACTCCAACCCACTAACCACAACCTCCCCATGAACCCTCCTCCCAATTTCCACAACCAACAGATCACCGCACGCCTTGAGAACAAAAGGGTAGGTAAAATTGTCCGCCTTCTGTCCAAAACTAAGCATTTCACGGTACAAAACCAGAGACTTGAACGGACATCCGTTGCAGGCATATCCCCTGATCATGAAATTCCACAGGAACGAGTTTTTCAGTACAATCCCATCAAAAATCAGTTGCGCTTGGGGCATTTTACCACAGTTTGCGTAGAAAGCGGCGAGCTTGGTGCTGAGATAGGTGTTGTTGATGAGATTTCCGGCGGTGACAGAGACGGCGTGGAGCTGCTGGCCTTTTGGGAAGGATTTGGTTTTGGTGAGAGATTGGAAGATGGTTCCGCATTGGAGGGAAGTGAATGGTGGGCTGAGAGAATGGTGTTTGAGATGGAGAGTGGAGGAGCAGATAGATTTTTTGAGGTGTTTGAGATTGAGACTGCCATTGCCGTTCATCAGAAAACAAGTTTGCAAAACATGAAATATATATATATGTGTGTGTGTGTGTATTCACGAGCTTTCAAATAGTAGAGAAGAAGGAGGTGGCGGGCATTTCAATTTCGCTATCTCCCGTTTGTATGCAGACCGCAGACTCGCAGTACTAAAGGAGTTAAAAAAAAGGGATAAAAAAACGAAAAGTTTAAAAAGAATGGAGAAGTGGGGTATCGATCCCCATACCTCTCGCATGCTAAGCGAGCGCTCTACCATCTGAGCTACATCCCCTGTTGACATGTTTATGTACGAATTATTTATAACTGTTTCAGTTGTTTAAATGCATATAAGGACAAAGACGCATGAAATAAGTGCCCGTTTATGATTTAGGATTGGTTTGGCTTGGATAATCTACTAAAAGATTATTATTGTTAAGGAAAGGGAAAGGGGAGGAGAGGGGAGGGTTTGAAATTAATATAATAATTTAGGAAGACGGAAATTTCAAACTTAGGAGTTCGGGACGCATAGGTGAAAACTTAATATCCTACCCTACTAAGATATTGAACCACATGCCAAATTATATTCCTCTACGATACTAGCCTTCTAACCCGAGACTATGAGGCCAAATGCTAGAGCACTTAACTATACGGCTAGTACTAGATTCAATGAATATTGAATAAAAATATGGATGTCAACTTGCATATCTCTACTAATTAATGAAACACTTATTATCAACCAAAATCATATGAAATTACCATTTTAACCCTATAATTAAAACAGAACACGAATAAAAAATATGGGGTAGAAATGTAATTTCACACAACCAAATTTTGCTTTTTTTTTTTTTCAAAGTCTCACCTACATGTAATCCTAATATATCTCTAATTCAAAAAAAAAAAAAAAATACTTCCCGCTCCCACATTCTCTATCACTCTCTTCCTCTCTCTTCTATTTCAAAAACAAAACAAAAAAATTTCTCACACTCTTTGTATGTGCCCATATACTAGTTATGTTTAAGTGAACATTAAATATGGAGAATTCATGAAGAAAACATTGAATTTGGTTTGATTTTATAAACAGTGTAGTGAGTGGGGATGGCTTGGGTAATGAGTTTGGGGTTATGTGAGAGAGGGGAAGATGGTGGGTGATTAAGATTAGTAATGAAATTACCTTTTTACTTCTGCATGTGGATGAAATTTTGACAAAAATTTCGATTTGATAACGAACTTTACCATAGGTAGCAGTTTTTTCACTACATAGATTTATTTAAAACTAATTTCTCACCACACTGCGAGAAAAAAAAATTGGCAATTAAAATTGTCTGAACTATGAGAAAAAATTCAAATATAAATGCATAATAAAAAGAATTCGTTAAACAAAACAAAAGAATTCGTAACTCAGTTAGTTAACATCATTTATCATTGAACTCGAGAGGTGATGTTCAATCTTCCCTCCACTCCAAATAAAAAAACATAGATGCTAAATTTGGGATAATAAAAATGTGAAAAGTAATAGATAAGAATAAAATGAGAAAAACAAAAAATTGGATGAAGGCAAGTGTTGTAAAAGCCAAAGGGAGGTCAAGAGACAAAAGACCAAAATAAGTCTAAAGACAACCATGGACGTCCCACATTGTTCTCCTCACGTCTATATCACGCGTCATTCTCTCTCTCTCCTCCTAAACCCCCGAAAAACAAGAAACATCCCGACGAACAAAAATCTAAACAGAAAAAAATATTATCACAAAAAATATCCAGATTAGCTAAAATCCTTCTGGGTTGAATTAGATTAGAGCCCCCACCCCATGAATTTGTGTTTTGATTCAGCTTTTTTCTTGCGTTTATTAATGGCGGTCGTGAAAACAGCAATGCTTTGACGTTTTAAAATAGTATAAAGTTTTGCAGGCGTTGTTGTTTTTGGTCTGCTCTTGCATGTTCGTATCTCGACGTTTGAATCTTCAAAGTCTGTGTTTTTCCGATCGAGATGGTAAAAAAACTGTGGGTTCTTCGCATAGCTGAGAAACTTGACGTGGGTTGCCGTCAAAATTGAAGATTTTAATCACGTGGGGATAAGAACGCGGAGCAGAAGGGCGCGCGGCCGCCATTGTTGCAACTTGCAGGTGGAGCTTCGAGGCTGGTTTTTTCTCTTTTGGAAACGTTTCGTTTCTGTTTGGTTGGAGAGAAAATTGAGGATTGTAAGACAAGTTCGATGAAATGAGAAGGAAAATATATGGACGGGATGGAAATGAGAAGAGGCAGCTATGCGGTTGTTTTTGTGATTCTGCTTTGTGCGTTGGTGATAGGGGCGTCGGAGGGTGTGAGGAGGACGAGAGAAACATTTTTCGGCAATGGCGATTGGCTCTCGGAGGAGATAGACGAAGACATGGTATGAACATAATTTGAATTACCCTCTTAATTCTTTTTCCTGCTATTTTCTTCCTTCGTGATTGTTAGCTACGTTGTTGCCAAATTTTGCGTTTAATTAGAAATTAATTAAAGTTTTATTCGAAGTAAGTTTTTTTCTCGCTTCTGCAATGCGATGTTGTATTGAAAGCAAGAAAGAACTAGTCTTGGTTGCTAATGGGAAGAGAAAATTAAAGTCAAATTTGCGATGACCTGGGCGTACCTAAGTTGGCTAGAGTAGTGTGTTTCCCCTCCGCTCTTCTGCATGATGTTGATTAGATTAATTAGAATATGGCTCGAGAAAAATGAATTTGATCTTCAATTTCCGCTTGTCATGTTTGTATGTAACACTAGCAGGTTCCTGTTCTGAAGAAGCTAAGAACCTATTTAGGTGACACAATCCATTTTTTGTTTTGCTAAAACATGGAGGGATGAATTTGCAAATTATGTGCACTTTGTTCTTCATGCTCAAGCTATATATGCCAACATGTAACTCTACATTGAGTTAAAGACAGGACAGGAGCAAATGGCTTGTAGAAAAGATAGAAAACTCCACCAGCAAAAGCAATAGCAGACTGTATACCGTGAAACTGCATTCGGCTGTGTGAGAAATGACAACTGCGTTAAGGCAAAAGATCGAAATTTTTTGTAATTGTTGTATTGAAAATTGAACTCATGATAGCTACTTCATTATTGTACAAGAGGATAACATGTTTATCACCGAAATTTGACTAGATCTTGTTACTGCAGGCAGAGCAGGCATGGATCCATTGCAGGAAAGAACTGATAGATGAGAAAGATGCTATCGAAAATTTTAACTTGTACATTCCACAGGAAGCAGCCGCTGACTCTGAAACAACGTTCTTAACGAAAAGCAACATACACCATGCAATTTTAGTTCTCCCTCATCGTGTGAAACAAACACTTTTTGATTGCTTAAGAAAGAAAGGGCTTCTGCTTCATGCTTCTGAAGAAAAGGCTACCTCGAAAAATTGGTTCCTCACCTGCTTAGAGTGGCTTTTAGGCTGGCCGGATGCTCCTAGAAGACATTTGGCCAGCAATTCACGTAAGCCAACAACGCCAAGCCCTTCTCCTTCTCCACAACCAGGGCATGCTCCAGTTCTAGCTCCCGGCCCTGCAGCTAGGTTGCCTAGATATCAAGCACCTTCACCTTCACCTTCATCCTCTATGAAAACTCATACAACTTTTCGTGCTAGTCCTAATCCCACATCAAAGGATCCCTTGTCGAAAAAGAAAAATCCACCATCAAAGGATGCGAAACCCTCACCAAAAAAGAAAAATCCACCAGCAAAGGATCCCTCATTTGGTAAAAAAAAGGCGCCACAAAAGGATAACAGCAATGTGATTAAACTAATTGCTATTGCTGGAGCTGCAGTTGTAATATTTATCATTGTTGCACTTCTCTGTTTCTGCTGTATTAAGAAAAGGAGAAGCCGAAAAATTGGTCCAAGAAATGGACCAAATGATGATAGGCCTCTTCTCACAATATCCGCTGGTATGTACACAATTATTAGCCTCTTCCACCAATTGATGATGATTTTCTTTGCATTCTATGGCCTGTCACAATCTTTGTAATGCCACAGGTTCTTCTCAGAAGTCTACTAGTTTAGGAAATTCCAGTAACAAAGAGTTCGGCACTAGTGCAAATTTTGCAAACAATATGGCCCTGAAAAAGGAAAATGAATCTGCACCTGGTGATGCAACTGCATCAGAAGCCGTGGCAGGAGGGTCAGTTCCTCCCCTAAAACCTCCCCCTGGAAGACAAGCTCCTCCACCACCTGAACCACCAGGTCCACCACCACCTCCTCCTCCTCGTCCTAAGGCCCCACCACCTCCGAAAGTTGCACCTCCACCGAAACCATTGCCTGGCAAGAACAACCGTCCGCCTATAGGACCTCATCGCAAAGCAAACAGTGGAGGTAGTGGTGATATGGATGCTGAGGGATCTCAAAAGACCAAGCTAAAGCCATTCTTTTGGGATAAGGTTAATACCAATTCGGATCAGTCAATGGTCTGGCATGAGATCAGTGCAGGATCATTCCAGTAAGGCATTAACTTTCTCTTGATGGATCTAATTTTTCATCAACAATTAACTTTATATACTCCAATTTAACTTCCTACTTATTTACAGATTCAATGAGGAGCAGATAGAGTCGCTATTTGGTTATAACGCTGCGGATAAAGCCAAAAATGATCGGAGGAAGGAAGCATCAGCCTTAGAACCTGCAGTCCAGTATATTCAAATTATCGACAGAAAGAAAGCACAAAATCTTGCAATTCTTCTACGAGCATTGAATTTGACCGCGGAAGAAGTTGCTGATGCCCTCCGAGAAGGTGAGTCTCTCTCTCATCGTGAGAAAGTTTTCTAGGAGATATTCACCTTGTGTTGTTTACATGGGAACAACTCTTCATCATTGGCCACTCGTCTCTCTGAAGTTCCATGTTATGTTTTTCCAATGTTTGAATCGAAAAAAAACAAGAAATACCATGTTTTGAATCATTTATCCTGGACGATGGGCTAGTCTATGTGTTATTTCTTATCAGTAACATGGTTCTTACCCTTGTTGATTTAATCAGGTAATGAGCTTCCTGTGGAGTTCCTCCAAAACTTGTTGAGGATGGCACCAACTGCGGAAGAAGAATTGAAGCTTAGGTTATTCACAGGGAATATTGCTCAACTTGGTCACGCAGAGCGGTTCCTCAAAGCCATGGTTG